CTGCGGTGAAAGGGATAAGAGCAGGCCACGAGCGTGAAGAACTTCTTATGAAGTTGATGACCGCGAACTGACCGGCAACGGATAGTTTTTGTGATCTGCTCATCTGAGCGGTTTTAAGCAAGCAAGCAAATGATGGGAGAAAATTACAGAAGAAACCCAACGAAAACGAAACTTTGATAAAATCTTTGGAGACCTCGGAGCAAATCTTAAAATCCATGTTTCGTATTTCTGGGCATTTCCAATCCTTTTGGTTCTTCACATCACCTGAATATCCGATTATTGATAAGATGGGAGAAGATCTCAAGATATCAGACAATATATTTGAAAAGTTAACTTAGCGGGTATTCCTCATAAATAAAAAGCTATATCTTTCTAAAACCATGATTGAAAAAGATTCAAGCCAGGAACATTACAAGAACACACAAAATTCCTCCATTTCATGTTTTCTTTTACATAAACATGGACAAGAAACATCTGAACGGTTCTTGAATCTTTTGAATTATATCGATGAATTCAATTTAAACTGAAATTGCTAACAAAATAGAAACTATTCCTAAGGAAAAAATTTTACCTTGTGATATTCTGCTTCTAACTACTGTAGTGAATATCAGAAATCAAGGACAAGCAAAAATTCTTCGGACAAGTGTGGGGATATAGCTCAGTGGTAGAGCGCTCCCTTAGCATGGGAGAGGGCTGGGGTTCAATTCCCCATATCTCCAGAAATTTTTTAATTTCTTGAGGGCACAATTTTAATAGAATGTAAGTAGAAACCTTAGATTTTATAATCATCGGTATAAGACAGGAGAGTCATTGAAGCACTCAAACGACACTGAAACACTTTCGGAATAACTAGTCTCCTTCTTAAATTATAAGCATGAGAACAGCTATATATGTCGATGGAGACAGCTTATGAGAAAGTGAGATAACTTTTTAAAATACTCACCCACTAATTCGAAAAGCTGTGACGTTCTTGCTTATTGTGTTAACAACCTTGATATAAATGGATGAATAATAAGAAAAATAAGCTACAATACCTTTACAAATATAGAGCGTTTGAGCTTATGTATATTACTTTGAAGCTTTGAAGACGTCCTGTTTAAGGTTAAAGTATAATCATTACTTTTATAGCATTGTAACATGTAATAATCTGAAAGGTTTAAAATTACCGCGTACCGTTGCGTTTATTGCGGAAATATTTTCGAGCTCACGTCATCTCTGTTAAAACGCAAGTGGTTGAAGCTTATAACTATCTTGTATTTTATTTCAAGTTTTTTTCCTCTAGTATAGATTAATTATTCTCTAAAGGATTATCATAGGTATGAGCCAACAAGGGTCACAGGTCCGTCAGGACATGCCACCTTCTGGTGGCTACAGAAGCTTCAACTTTAACAGAACTTTCCCCAAGATTGTCTGGAGACGTTAGTTTTTTCTTTTCTTCTATTCTAATCTTCTACCATTTAGCTGGAGTTGTGGTTGCCGCAGTTTTTGGTGCTTCTGTTGTTGGAGCTTATCAAGCTCTTGAAAGCAAGAAGGATGATATGTAACTTTTATATTTTATTTATAGTGCAATGCTGCCTTTTTTTAGCACAGAGAAGTTCGAGGATGTAGACATCAACAATGCCATGCAACCCTTCTTAACAGCAGAGAGAGACAGATAGTAAGCTTCACTAGCTAATTGATTTGAATGTTTTTTTTAGTTGGCTAAAACTGTTGAGCAAGAATAGAGAGTTGGAAAGCGAGATCATGAAGGATGTTCCAGGATGGAAAACTGGTTGTTTAGCACTTGCAAAAACCGTAACCTTCTTTTTTCTAGGAACATGGTATGGAGAGCCCGTATATTTCACTTTGGGAGATAAATGGTGGGATCCTTCAGCCACAGAGGTTTTCGAAACTTTGTTGAGAATAACAAAGCGATTTTTTTAAGATCTTTGCTCATTCATGGGGCTCTGTAAGCGAACGTGAACACTTGTGGCGTCAGCATTCTGAATATGCTGGACCAAAGTTCTACGACAACTGGATCCCTAAAGCAATCGGACGCTATCTTTGGTGATAAAGTGCGTATAAATTTACGTATATAGATAGAAGATGTGTTAACGATTTTTACTAGAAGAGATCTTTGTTTGTAGTTTTATAGAATTGAAAACTATGGAATGAAACATTAAACATGTAATATTATTTATGAGAAACATTAGTTTTCGTCACTGTTATTGCTTCTGTTCTGACCTTTCATTCCGATGGAATACCCGCCCGTTCCGTTGGGAGTCATTTCAAAACTATCGGTTGACAAGCCAAAAGGTTTCAAACATACGTTACCTTAAAAGGCAAATAAACCTGCAGATTAACGGGTTATGCCTCCTTACCTAATGTTTTTAGTTTTTCAATTACGCCTTTTTTCATTTCTTCCTGTTTCTCCAGAGAACGCGCCTGGCATTCAGCGATTTTTTTCTGGAGATCCACTCGTTTAGGGTATTCCTCCTGAAACATTCCGATTATTGTTGTTAAAACTCAATGTTTGTTACTATGATTGCTTTGTAGTCCACAATGGAGTCGTCAACTTTATCCAAACGTTGGTTAGCATATCCCCGCCTCTCTAATGCTTTCGGGTTTTTAGGATCAGCCTTAATAGGAGATTATCAAGTAAAATTCTCAGTTAATACTTCAAGAGCAGTTGTAGCAGCATCAACAGCTTCGTCCCATTTCTCCAACTTTATGTAACATGCAGATATATTCGAGTGGAGTACTGTGCGGAATTCATTGAAGTCAGGGGGACATACTTCCAGAGCTTCCTATACAAATACATCAATTCCAACTCTGAGTTAGTTCTAACTGAGTATTTTTGTACAGCATCGCTATAATTGCCGAGTCCGAACTGTTGATTTCCTTCTTGCTTGATTCGATCGAGCTTCTCCTGAACTTCTTCATCGTCCAAAACTTCTTCGATGATTGCCATCTAAATATCGTTTCTTAGTCTTTCAATCATTCATATATAGATAGTGAACCGGAAACCGACCACTTGCTCGAGAGGAGAAAAAAAAGTTTATAACAAATTTGTTCAACAATATAAAATCTCAAAATACATTACTAATGATAAATATACAAGATCATTCAATGAGCTCTAATCAAACAAGTTACTATACATATCGTTGAAATGTGCAACGAATCGGACATCAAGGTCGTTTCTTAAGAAGTCTGGAAGATCAGCAAAATCTCTACGATTTTCTTCTGGTAGGAAGACGCGCTTTGCACCAACTCGTCGAGCCGCGATTATTTTCTCTCGTATTCCTCCTACTGGGAGTACTTTTCCTGTCAAAGAAATTTCTCCTGTCATAGCCATATCCTGTGATACAGGCTTTTCTTTCGCGAGTGACAAAAGAGAAGAAACTAATGTCACACCGGCGGAAGGTCCATCCTTAGGAGTTGCTCCCTAGAATGTTTAAAGTCATAAGCTCTTTGTAGTCACATAAACAAAAAAAAATAAATGAATTCAACAAACCTCTGGAACATGGATATGAATTTGAGCTTTGTCGAAGAACTTATTTTCTACATCTTCTCTGCTCAAAATTCCTTTTGCAACAGTTAAAGCAGTACGTACACTCTCCTGGAATAGATGCTTGATACATGCTCTACCTGTTTTAGCAAACCTTCATGACATCTCCCAAATTTCCTGTAATCTCAACAGATCCTTCCTTATCATTTTTATAATCAACAGGTCTTTTCAAAACTGTTTCAATGTACAGAGCCGATCCTCCCATTGCAGTCCATGCCAAACCCATAACCACCTAACATTTCAATTTATACTTCTGATTTCGGTTCATCAACTTACGCCAGGTGGAGTTAGGTCATACATTCGATCTGATGTGAACTTGGGCCTTCCAACAAACTTTTCAAGATTGTCAGGGCTGACACAAATAGCTTCTTCGGCAGAACCCTTCTCCTTACGTTCTGCAATTTGCAAAGCTCCTTTGCGGAAAATCTAAACATACAATATTTAAAAATCAATGTCCGCCTAGCTTACCCTCTCAATATGCTTCTGCAAGTTCCTCACTCCTGATTCTCGGCAGTATTGTTTTATCAACCTTTCTACTGCGTCATCATTAATTTGAAGCTGGTCTTCTTGAATACAACTACAAGAACACTTTCATTCGGAGATTTACTAGTACCAAACTCACGTATCTGTTCTAGCATGAGGTATAAGGTATTTTTGAGCAATTGCGATTTTCTCCTCTGCCAAGTAACCACTAACATCGATAAGCTCCATACGGTCTTTCAATGGTCCTGGGATTTGATCGATAACATTAGCGGTACATATGAACAGAGTTCTGAAAATAAATTCCTCATAACTGTTACCATCCTAATTATTACTTGGATAGATCTACTGGTACGTCCAAGAAATGATCATTAAAATTAGCATTTTGTTCCGGATCCAGTAACTCGAGAAGAGCACTAGCAGGATCTCCATGATGACCAGCTCCCCCAAGTTTATCCACTTCATCGATAAGAACTAATGGATTTTCAGATTTGACCTGGAATATATTTCCAATATTTCGAAATTCTCTTTGATCAAAACCTTCTTCAAACACTGAATCATTTTGCCTGGCATAGCTCCAACATACGTTCTGCGATGTCCTTTAATTTCGGCAACATCTGTCATCCCCCCTACAGAGAATCGGAAATACTATAAACAAAAAGAATAATCTCGCGATATATTGTAAGCTGCATACTTGACGATTCAAAGCATCAGCTATGGATTTGGCGATACTAGTTTTGCCAACGCCTGGAGGTCCATGCAGGCACAAAATCTTTCCACTAACATGTTTTCTGAATTCCGTTATGAATATTTGGGTGCTGAAGACGAGATAAAACCTCAGTATTGTGACAGCAATGAATTCCAGAATCCTTTCTTTCACATCTTTCATCCCATAATGACCACTATCCAAAGCTTCTTTAGCTTTGCCTAAGTCCGTGTTTTCTTCAGTTGTTATGCCCCAGGGGATATTGGTCAGCCAATCCAAATAATTTCTGAGAAACAACTGATTCCCACGATATCATAGAAGTTGCTACCTGGTTACACTGAATTCGCTTGAGTGAGGATCCAAAAACTGCAGCTTCTGTTGCTCTTCCTTGATCACCTGAGAAGAATATAAAGTCCCGCAATGATAAAAAAACTGTTACTTTCATAGCGTACTCGGGAACTTTCAAATCTTTCAACCTTTCTTCCATTTTATCAATAATTGTAGATTTGTCGTCTTTCTCCAATCCCAATTCTTTCTTTATAATTTTCAACTGAAGTTAAACGATTGAAAAACACTTTCGACATTGTTATTGTTCACCTGTTCTTGGAGCAAATACTTTCTATGCTGGTCTTGAACTTTTTTCTCAACATCTTTATTGATATCAAACTTGAGCTTAGCCACTGTTTTTTCCTTCTCAACTAACTCTAGAGCGAGATCCAATCGCTTGTTTACCTGTAAAGAAATATATTTTCGGAAATTACTCGACATTCAATACTTGAACTTCATCCATCATTTGCTGTAACTCTGATGTTTCAGCAGATTGCACTAGAGTAGCAACGAGATCACATAAATACACTGGATTATCGATAACATTTTGAGAAGGATGAAGAAGTAAGTTAATTTGTTGACCGAATAAAGTATTGTATTGAACAACGTCTCTGGAAAAATTCTTTTTGTTGAGAAAAGTGGGGATGGTACGCGTACCTTATGATTTGAACGATAGCTTGCATTTTTGCTTTTGTTTCCGTATTCCTGAGAGCCGGTTCAGAAGCTACGTTTTCCGTTTTGCCTAATACAATACTCGATTTATCCTGTTGTTGTGGACGCGTCGAAGGTGGCACAGGAACTTGTTTCCGGCGACTTCTTCTCTCATTTATATTCTTCGGAACAGATTCTTCACTCGCCTCTTCCGTAAACTGTTCCAATAAACGAATTCTTCAAAACGGATAAATAGATTTGGAAATGATAAGACCACGTACCGACGGTGAGCACTCAAAACTAGTTCCAGTACTTTTCCATGATCCCTCATTTCAATAATCTGTAACAGCTTGATTAGTGTTGAAACAGTATGTGAAGGGCACCTGAACAAATGTACCAACGGAATGTATCTGTGAAATAGAAGTCACGGTTTCGTCTTTATTCCTTGAAAAAAATTTAAAACTTCAAATGAAAACAAGTCGCATACTCGTCGTCCTTTTTTACGAAAACACCACAATAAGGTTGTCGTAGCTTCATTCGATTACGAATAACTTCTTTAAGGACTTCGTCTTTTACAATCTTTGAAAATAAGTTTTGAACTTGTGTTGCTATAGAAACTCACATCAACTTTCTTTATAAAACCCGGAAAAAGAGGATAGCGATTGATCGCAATTATCGGTACTATGGGAAAGCTATCAGGAACCTCAATTGTGCTCATTCCATGCTTAAATTTCTTCATTAAATCAGTTCATTATATCATCTTTACTTGGAAATCACTTCGCTCTATAAGAGCTGACTCAGAGTCACCATTCACATCTAAACTTGGTTCATCTTTGTTATCATTGTTGTTATTAGAATTAGAACTAAAAGAATATTTTGAACCTCAAGTTCAGAATCAATTTTACCTGTAAAACCTAATTTGGGGATAAAACGAGTGCTGAGCATGTAAGGAGGAAGGTGTTGCACTTGTTAAAAAATTTGTTGACGACGCTCGTAACTGTGAACATCGAATTGCTATCTTTGATACATTTGAAAGTCTTCTGATCATCCTAAAAAAATGTTTTTGTTTTTCAACAAAAATTCATGAAGTAAACAGTCGATGGAACACATTCATTATGAAATTGTGAGAAAGTGTATAATATAAAGTTTAATTTTCCCCCGAAAACATAAATTAGTTTAATAAATAATACAATCACAAGAATCCGACCCCGAGTGTTCTCAGCTCATTCACTTCTTCTTCTTTGTTTCCACAGTTGCCTTTTTAGCAGAGTCATCAGCGTTTTCCACGGGTAACCACTAAATTTAAATGATAATATTAAACTAAAGTGCAACTCTTACGGCTATTGGATTAAGTCGGAAAAGGAATGGCCAAGGTGGAATTACAACTAATGCTGAGAGGGCAGCTCCAATTAGGACGGTATAAATAGCATGAGAAAGTTGTTGGGTATGGTTTCCAACGAAAAAACCAACGATGCCTGCTATGACCAAGATAACCTGAACAAATAAGAGTTATGCAAAATGGTTCTGAATGCTCCGACTTGATATGTTCGTTCAGCAGCTTTTTGTCCAGGAAAATCCATATGAGAAGAGATTTTCTGGAATGGAGCAGGAAGCATAGCTATTATACCGTCCATTTTCTGCAAAAAAAAACTTTGTTATAATGAAGGAAAGCTGAAATTTGAGAATAGAAGATGAAGCATTTCAACATGACGGCATCTAAAGGCGTTCACGCCAAATTGCGTACGCCAAAAGAAAAATTTTGGAGTCCACGCCCCTTGCTCTCATGATAGTCTGACAGGCTGCTGAATAGATTTATGGTTGCTGCTTTTCCTCTCTTCCTCAGCAAATTCATAATTAAATTTAGTTTTATTGAGAGGATTGAGTTACTCACTTTGTGAGACGATTGTCTCCAATTTAAAGAGTTTTGATAGCTTTGAAATGTTTTCGTTGATTCAAACCTCCTTGATTCTTTGTTTTGCCGCTCATTCTAATTAAACTTCGACAAAAATTAGCATAATCTCATCGAATGTTCTGTATGAATCCCTGAAACAACCTTATCTACGACATATATCTCCATCAATGAAGGATTTGACTGTGTTGTCCGCGCACAGCGGTAATCTCTGTCGTTATTGCCATATATAGTTGCATCTGTGTATTGATTCAATAATAATTATTATTTGCTATAGAAGTTCTAAAAACTTATTTAATCCGATTTCTGTTCTTTTCCTCGTAACGCACTTTGTTAGCGCTTCCTTTTCCCTTATGCGTTTACCATATTGATTTTCATTTTTTGTTCTTTCTGCTTCCTTTTTTATCACTAGAGGAAAACATCTTTTAACGTGACAAATGTTGTTATTCGTAAGTTTTGCATTAAATCGTAACATTTTTGTGCGAAGAGATGTTTTTGTCTCGATGACTTCGTTAATTTCAGGGGAATAACGAATGCTAACTTCCTTAAACAGTTGTTCATGAGTTATGCGCTGTGAAAGTACGTTTTTAAACATTTTTTCCAACTTTTCTGTGACTTCTGCTTAACTCATTGTCGGAATCAATATCAAAGCTTCTTGAACTGGTTGGCATTCCGAGTAGTAAACATAAAAAAATCGTAAAAAAAAAAACGTTTCCCTAAGAAAACAAAAAGTTACATACAAATTACTTTTTCAGTTATATGTCCTTCTTTGCCCAGTATACCAACTTGTGCCTCATATTCTCGAAGATTACAAACAGTTTTCGCAGCAAATCCTTTAACATCATATTCAGTCAATGGGACTGCCGTAAGTTTTTCCTTCTTTTTTCTCCTTTGAAACTTTCCGCGGAAGTCGTATGCTCTTCGATTTCGTTGTCGTTCATTATATCGAGTTTCATTAACATGGCTCAAATAACTTACACTACTTGTAATTCTCTCTGGGCATCCTCTGATTGAGGGTTATGACGTGTTCATGTAGATGTTTGACACTCCCAATAATTTTTATCAGAGCCGATTGATTTTGAATTGAACAAAAGTTTGAGATTAAATGATAAGTCTTGACACCTCTCACATAAGGAACCGATGAATCATCTGTGTTTAGTTTACAGAGAAAACATTGCATACAAGATATTCTCAATTGAATTTCTTTCTTTAATTCCTTCCAATTTTCTCCTCATTGCTCTGACTAATACTGTTACTCAAGCATGTATGCAACTATATGTTTCTGACGAAATTATGAGAAAATATGGAAAATCTTTGTGATGAAAAGAGGAAACATTTGATGTCTTATGCGTTGAAGGTTTGATCGAAGCGCTTTCACAATTCCCATGAGGACACGCGAGCTCTACCAGCTCGATCCTAATATGTCTGACAGCTGCCTCAGCTGCTGACCGCCCTTGGAACAATGGAAACAGCGAGTACGGATAGATTTTAACAATGAACGTTCGTGCCCTACAGAAAGTAGAGAGAGGAAAGAAAGCAGAGAGTGGAATGAGTGCGATTGACTTGAGTAAAACACAGCCGAGTGCGTTCATCGTTGAAATCCTTCTACCAGACGCGCACGAGTAGGGATTACCCTGTTGACGTCTCGATTTCTTTCTTTTCGCCCGCCGTTTTCCTTCTCGGAAGTTAAGACGAAACCATTTGAATACAACAGATGTTGAATGGGAAGTATATCTTTCTGTGCATAAATATATGGTTAAGAAAACGTTCAAAGAGGTAGAGAAACGCAGAGGTCAATGACATATAATATAGTGCCATAACTGTCTTTTCTGCTCGATATTCGTTTATTTATTTTGCTTAGCAGCAGCAAGAAAGCTTGCTCGGCAATGCGAGAAAAGCAGGGCTACTTGACAAAATCAACTCTAGTTCCTCTTTTTGGGTCTCTCAAAAACGTTAAAGCTGTTACTTCCGAAAGATTTAGCTGCTTTCATGTTTGCCTACTTATCTGCTAGCCAACTGTTTTCTATTGAAGGATAAAGAAAATAAGGGATGGATGACTGTTCATCGAGACTCATTAATCGTGACAGCATAGTTTCATACATTCTAATCATGTTAGCTTTAGCGAACATCGTTTGACATATTTCTTCAAGTTCGAGCATGTAGGAAATTGAGTCAAAACAAACTAGTTTTCTATAAAAATGTTGAGTTTAGTTTACGAACAAATGCCAACACAATGAAAGAGGTTTTCTTCTGTACAATGTGGGAAATACCAGCACTCTAACCATTTTCTGAATGTCTTTGCCTAATATTTTTTCTCTGAACCTATCTGACTGTCTATGATTTCATCATTGTTATTTCCATTCTCTTCCTCTTCCTCTCGTTCTCTGTTCCTCGCTCTCTGTTCCTGTAAAACTATCAATGAATGGAATAGCAAGCGAGAAAGAATGTATGTTCGGGTGCATGTATTAAAAGGGTCGCGCAGCCTTCGCAGTTGCAGAATAAATAGATAGATGATGACTGTGGAAATGAGGCGTAGTGTTGGCTTGAAGAAGTAAAACAAGATGAGCAGAATTTCATTAGAAGAGGGGTTGTTTACACTCCACGTTTTGCGTGACTTCACGTGAAATTTCAAATCATTTAATGTCAATCTGTTCGAAAAGCGGTTGCACTTGTTGGTTGTGAGAAATTGCTCATGCAAATTATTATGGAAATGCGAATGAAACAGGTTTCCAAAAGTTTTACTCTAATAAGGGAGTGGAAATACCGCTCAAGCTGGCTAGTTCATTGAAACTTTTTGATTCTCCTGAGAAGAAAAACCAATGCGTGAATAGTTTGAACTGTAAAATGGAACTTGAAAGTTTAGATCATTCTAAGTAACTGTAAATTTCAGACCGAGCAGCTACCATGTCGAACTCCTGTCGACTGTCTGCGTTTAAGTAGAGATGAAAGAAATTTAGCAGTGTCAACATCAACACAAATAAAACTTATTGACTTGAATACTCGTAAGAAAATATTATTTTGTATAATAATGAATTATTATTGCATACAGATAGAGAAATACGTAACCTGCCTTCAATGAACACACTTCCCATAAAAACTGTTTGTCCAACACGTAGTTCAATATATTCATGGGTAATCACATTTACGAAACACATGATAAACAATAAATTTTTTTGTAGGTTTCTGGATCTTTAGATTCTTCCTGGACTTTATGGGATACTAGATGTCATCCAGCTAACGTTTTACATGGGAGGGTAAATGGGCCAATCAAATGCTTAGACGTGTCTCCAAATGATGCTCTATTAGCTGTTGGAACGGCATCATCTTTCCATCTTTTTGATATTCGAAATCGACAGCCGGCTCGTATTTTCCCATGCTCGGTTAGTTGAAAGAAACTCCAACAAATGTTGTTTTGCAAAGTTTGCTTTGATATTCTGAACAATTTGAAACATTATTTTCTGAGTAAACGCGTGCTTGGAAAGCTGACAGGAAAGAATAACATCTCATTTTTTAATTCAGGCTGTTGGTGTTCAATTTAATCCAGTTCAAATGATGTTAGCAACATATGGAATGGATCGCATTGTTCGGTTTTGGTGCTTAGACCAAATGGAATGTGTATCTCAATCAGATGCCCTATCCAGTAATATTAAAGGGATTGCTTTTAGTGGAGAGCGGGATGATCCAGAAAGTAACTTTCAATCAAGAAAGTTCTCGTTCAAAAACAATTTTTAGATGATTATTTATTGGCTGCAACCGATACTGAGCTTCGGATGTTAACATGGGAACCGTGCGACACATTGTCATCTACACCACTAAATAAGCATTATTCGGTACTTTTATTACCTTTAAAAGTTGTTTCCTAATACTTTCTTTTTCTCATTTCCAGGTTTTAGAACTTAATTTCACAGAGGGAGTAGTAAATTTGGCGAGCTATGGCGTTGATAAATCGTTAGCGATGATAACCTATTCCATAGAGGTGAGGGTCATTCCTTTTTGCGAGAGAAAAAGTTATTTAATGCGTGTTGTTTTAATTAGGGCATAGTTTTCCCATTATACTATCTATTGAAAGAGCTTTGTATAGGATTGAGAGCGTTTTTCACCTGATCCTTTTGATGTCTAAAATAGTGGCGAAATGAGAGAAACGGAAAAGAGATGAAAGACCTTATTGACGCTGAAATGAATGAATAATTGAATATTATTGTGATTTTGCTCTCATGTAAGGATGGTTTCCCATTTTTAGTCTACTGGGATCACTAAGAAAGCTTTTGAATAACTTGTACATTGGCTCATAACTTTTGATCTATCGATTCATAGGGAGGAGGAATAACGGAAAAAAAACAATCAATATATTCGAGTGTTTTCAGGATATTTTGTCACCTGGTGAAAATCAATTGTCTGAAAAGTTTTTTGAATTTACAATTGAAGAGGAAGGAGAAGAAGAGGAAGAGGTAGAAGAAGACTTATTACTTCCAAGTGATTCTTCTACGTCTCCATCACCATCGTCGTCCTCTGGATCATCGTGTAGTATACAAAACAACAATAACATTAAGAAAACGGATATGGCTGTGAGTTTTATTCTGCATTTCTACCAGCTCAAATAGAAATTTTTTTTTCAAATCGAGGAATTCAAATTATCTCTTACAGGTAGCAACCATACCAAGATCTGCACCTTCGGCTGTTAATAGTCGTCGTACCAATCCTTTGAATGTATCAACCACAGTTACTCAAAAACTTAATAGTCAAGCTAGCACACCAACAGGCAGAGTCACAAGAGCTTCATCGTCTTCAAGGTTTGTGTTCTTTCTTCGCCGCTCATTGTTTTTTCAACGAAAAGGGAGCTACGTGTTTTTTATTTTGATTTCTTTTCACAAATATTTCGAATTTGAGTGATTGCAACATCTAATCCTCTCATGAGTGTCTTAATATTTTCTTCAACTCGCTGTCAGTGCAGGATTGAGCAGTCCCGAATCATTTGTTTTCGACTTCCGTCTTTTTGCATAAAAGGGAGCTATTATCCATCCTTTCACTTTGGTCTTTGCTACCAACAACAGCCTTTGCTTCATCAGAATTGAGAGAGAAAAAGAAAAAGAACTTTGGGCCATGGTTGCTATGGAATCCCTTGAATTATTTCCATATAAGCAGAGGACAATTTGATGGTTAAGAAACCTCGAAAAACTCTTTGCAGATGCCAAAGAGTTAATTCCACCGATGCATTGAATGTTCGTCCGCGTAGCCCGACAGAACCTCCGGTAATCGATAGGTACGTTAAACTTTAAACTTTCTCGTTTTGCTTTTCTGTTTGTTATTTTCTGGAAGAATTTCGTAGAACTTCCATTCATATATTATCATATCCTATCCCAGGCCGACCCGCCTGTCTTTGCGTGACAGAGCTAAGTCTACTACCACAACTCCAACTGCAGCTCCTTCTAATCAAAAAGCCTCGAAACTGCCTCCTTTGCCTACTAGAAAACCTTCTCCTGTCACCAGATCCAACGCGAAGGAATGTAAAGATAATATCGTTTCGAGGAACACTTCTCTTATTGACGATACAACAATGGTTAAGACGACGGATTCAGCTGATGTGAGTACCTCCTTAAACGCGCATGCGTTCTTACTCTTACTTATAGTACTCCGGATCAGAACTTCATTCACTTCTAATCAAAGGCCATCACAGCGTTATGCGTTTGCTCGAATCGAGAAAAACAGGTTTCTTTCTATTTGTAATTGTTTTTGTATTTTCGAGATGTTTTTCAGAGGCCGAACGATTCTCAAAAAGTATTCGTTCAGGTTCTTTCGACAATGGAATTCTCGAAGGAGATATGTTTGTACGTCGGCGAGTAATTCAGCAATTAACAGAAATGAAACGTTGGGATATCCGCCTTGTAAGTAATCACGTAGTCGGCATTAAAAGTAAGAATGACACTGAGACTCAACACAACCTTGTCAACATTTTAGTGATGTTAGGAGATGCCAAATGTATAGAGACTGCTTTGGATGCACTCAGTTTTATAGTTAAAAACTTAGCAGATAAATTTAAATCTTTCGCAAATTCATCAGCAGTTTGTGGAGTTGATGTAGTTCAGGAGCAACGAAAAGAGAAAGCAGAATATATTATAAAGGTATGATATTCAAGTCATCTGGCTCACTGAATAATTTTCAGGAACTGCGTGAGCTTGTAGAACATCGTGACTCCTACTACAAGTCTCTCTCATATGATCATGTGTTGCAATTGGATGCCATTATGGAATATGTGAAAGAACTATAATGACTTAAGACTCTCTTCACTTTTGGGTCTCGGTTTTCGCGGGTACTTTATAGGTTACTGCTTCTGAATAATTGTATATAATCGACTCGGGTCTTCCTTTGGAGCCTTCGTATAACTCTACTTTTTGTGGTTTTTTGTGCAATTCTTAAAAGAGTTTTATCACAAATTTATTCCAAATACGGTTATCAACAAGAGCGCTTTCGGGATCATGTTCCCCTTGTAAATTTTTTGTAACGATAAATACATTTTTATGAAGTCTGCTGTACATGTGTCTGGTTCATAACTTTCTCGAATTCGACAAAATCCTTAATCAATTGAAAATAATAACAAGTTCGATTACAAGTAAAATTACCACTAGGAATGTAGCTCCGAGTAGAACGGCTTTCAACTTGACATCCAAATCCAGCGGGACTATAAGTTCAGTTGATATTTTGATTGAGCTCACAAACTTACAGTTGACACTGAATACATCTGCATCTGTGAATGCTTCGCGGCAACATCCTCCCCATTTCTTTGTAATGCTCCCAATTGCTAAACCATCCATTGTAAGAACCTAAAAATCAAGTATCAAAAAACAGTCATCCAATTGAAAACACCGGAAATTCCTTGTCTTGACAGCCTAGTAATAAACAACAACATGGACCATCAATTTTAAATAGGTCTCTATCGTTTTCATCCCGAATTATGAACTTGGTTGAACAGCAACCCCATGTCTGAATCACAGTTCCTATCTGAACTGAATATCTTCTAAGTTGCAGTAACTAATACGTACAACATTTCCAGGAGGAGATTCAATGGTGCATTCATGTGCCATCGAACGGAAACAGGCCAAAGTTCCACAGCATCCACCGAAGCATTTGAATGGACGGCGAACTCTTATTACTTCCTGAACACATCAAGTTACGAAAACTCTTAGAATAACGCATAACTCTTTTGAAGTTATCGGTGATATGCATCGTGAACCCTCTGTTTGGTCCACAACACTGTCGAGAACAACAGCCTGATTCTTCCGCTGCGTAGTATACCTGAAAATTTTGCATGAATTAGACACATGAGACAGAATTGTCACCTGATCGCCATTCGCATTTCGTAAGGAATATTTATTACGAGTCTCAAAATCAGTTATAACTTCAATTAATTCGATAATCTGAACAAAGGTTCATTAGATAATATAAAACATCTTCATTAACCTGCTTGACGAAAACTGTGTCAATCAGAGTCAAGTATTCCAACCCTGGTGGCACACCAACCATCGACGGGGCGGGTGGAACATACATCAGCCCTAAAATTTTGATATTTCAGGATTTCCTATAATACTATAACCTGGTTGAGCTACTGGTTGACTTAAGATGGTTTGTCCATACTGTTCTTGATAAACTGACATAGGAATACATTCACCATCTGCAAATTTTAATGAAGGAAATATTTACCCTATGACTTACTAGGCAACTTGACATACTGCTCTGTTAAGCCGGGTTGTGTTGAAATTGTATGGGGGGGTGCAGGAGCTATTTGACCCGACATAATGGAAAATCTGTGGAGTGAAATGTTGTCGAACAGGAATTGAACGGGACACGAGCAAAACCGAACAAAAGTGAAACGAAAAAATGTTTGATATGGTTGTCATGGCAATTTGTATATGACAATCATAACGTCAGTATTTGAAATGATTTTTCAGCTGAAAAAAGGACAAAGCGGGAAGGAGAATTATATAATTCATATGAATAAGTAACACTTGAGGGATGAAAGAATAGAATCTTTCATGTAGGAAGAAGGCAGCTAAACCAATAGCATGTAGTCAAAAAACCAATATTTTAATGAGAAAAGCTTACAGCATCTATAGACGTGGTCGTTAGAAATCGATTAAGTTGAGTTACTCAAAATTTGAAACAAATTCGCAATATACTATGAAATTTTTATCGGATGTTTTTTTAGGATCGTTGAGACCACCCAAGCTCAATGAATCCTGAATCAAGTTGGTTCCTGAAGAGATCTTCAACTAAGTGACTGGTAGACCAAAAGTTCAAGATGAACTTATGAACCCAACGTGCAATCCTTCAAACTGATTCCTTCCTTTGGGATTTGGTCATTTTTGAATAAGTTCATAGGGGGAAGACAGTTCTTCTCGTTTTTTAAAATCTCCAAAGTTTTCTTCGGCTTTGTATAATCATACAGGAACAGGCCCGGCATTCTGAAAAAAAATCGATTAAACTCTCTTTGAAAGAAGCACGGCATCATAATAATAAAAGCTTCACTTACTCTACACATTGCCGCTCATACTCCAGAGCCATCAATGCAAACTCATCGATGCCAATACGAACAGAAGTCGTTGTAGGATCTACACCACTTTTTGAGAGTACAGAATGAGCCATGTCAAATGAGATCTGCAAATATTTGATTTACGCAACTTTGGTTCAGTGTTCCGTTGTGTTAAGTTTCAAAGATGTTGAGACATAGCTCTCACAAGCAGAGCATGTTTATTTCAACAAACGTGTTTCCATTTTAGATTAAGCCCATCTTTTCTCAGTTTTATCAATTACTCACTTCTTCCGGGTACAGTGTTCTAAGACCTTTGAGCACGTATTTCTGCCTATAATGGAATACTTGTCTACAAAGCTTTTCAACCACCTGAATGAGAGAGATTTTTAGTATAAATTTCGCGAACGAAACCTCAAAGGAGACATTGATTAATGGAACCCTACGAGGTACAAAACGAACAACCCCTACATCTACTTCTGGACGGGGGACAAAACAACTGCCTGAAGAAAGAGTGTGGGCTCGGGTTGTGAATATGATGATAATTGCAAGTTAATGAGATAGTGAACCTACCTGGGATTTTGAAAACAAGTTTAGGCTCCGAAACGTATTGAGACATGATTGATAATCTCGATCTTGAATCACTTGCTATAGGACTACAAATGCGTTGAGCAACTTCCAATTGAAAAGTCAAAGTTAATGGAACTCGACCAAACTCCCATGGTCCCCTCCGATAAGACATATCTTTCAGGAATCTGAAAACGAGCATGACAAAAACCGTAAATCAAATATGCTATGACTTAATGATAAGAGGAGATGCGATATTAAATGGTAAATTTCCTATCACATGATAAGTTGGAGGATCATCGTGCCAATTAGCTCTCTGTGGATGATTTTCACTATTACTCCATATCTCTCCAATGTTTGTTTTGAGAACATCGGAGTGATGAATATTCAATCTGCCATCAGCAGCTTCCGCAAGATGCTGCAAGTTTCATAATTATTCGAAATCATAATAGATCAGAACAACAAGCTGATAAGGAATTTACGATTATACTTAAGCCCTATTAACGAACACTTTTTTTGCACAAAAAATCATGAGGCGTTGTAAAAAAAATACATAACAGATTCAAACGGAGCTTTTCAGAGTTGATAGGATGTGGTCGTGAGAATAATAATCAGATAATCCAACTAACTTGCAATGGTGGTATGAATCTATGATCTATTTCAACAACATCTAATCGGGAAGCTCCAGCTTCTAGTATAGCCCTTGTGATGCCCCCCGGTCCTGGACCAACTTCCGTTACCCAATCGCCCTCTTTAACCTGGGCGGATCGAATAATCTGTAATTTTCGAAGGGACTGTTATCATGAAAATGATGAGCTGTTAGAACCTTCCTCGTGACATTCATGTCCATTATGTAATTTTGCGAAAGAATTTTTTTGGCCCTGAGCCGGTACATGTTTATGAAATCTCGTAAAGCCGGCAAGGGAGGCAACCGTGTATACACTGCTTTCGACATCTTCGATGAAAATATGGTGAGACTTAAAGCAGGAATGAAGAGATTTCAAAAAGAAGATTTTACGGAAATATCCTTTCAAACACACAAACACAATAAAAAAATTTTTTTATTATTAATATCCGGACAATTTAATATTGGAATGGCTAACTAGTAGACACCATTATTTGAACAAACATATGCATTGGTATGAAGCAAACGTGCTCATATAACGAGAGTTGTAAAACTTTCTGACATCATTAGATGCTGTATGCAAATTATTATTAAAATTGCACAATTTCAACAGTTACCGGGGAATACACATGCGAGGAAGATGAAGGATGAGAAGAAAGAATAGTTCGAGTCTGACAATACTTTTGGAATCATACTCAGTGCAACCCATGAAAGATTTCTTTCGAGAAATGTTTGTGAAAAAATAACAAAGTGTCTTACAAAAACGAATTATTGTGTTGTTTTTGCCAATTCCTCTTTAATTGCTTCGATGAATTGATTATATGCCAAGTCGAGATCATCATTGATTATTACTCGGTGGAAAAGAGCTGGGTCGTTTGCAACTGCAATATCTTACATTCGAAAAGAGATAGGTTAAGATAACAAACCGGCATCCAAGTCTTCTTGAGCGTGTTTTAATCGTTTGGCGAGTGATTCTTCTGTCTCAGTATTTCTAGCTCGTAAACGTTCCTCCTGGAAAAAAAATTGTGTTGAAAAAGAAAGGATAAACAAATAAAGAATACCAATGCTTTAATGGTTGGAGCTCTGATAAGAATATAGAGGGCATTCAAATGCGAGTTCTTGATAGCTTTCACACCTTGTAACTCGATATCCAAAACACAGATTTTTCCAGTTTTTTCAATGTCGGCGACTGCTCGCTTGCTGTAACATTCCCGTAGATAGCATTGATGCATGATAGATCACCTGGTCCCATATGTATTACCACCGAAGGTTGCGTGTTCGAGAAAATCTCCATTCGAAATCATTTTCTCAATATTATCTCTAGTTGTGAAATGGTAATGAGTGCCATCTTTCTCTCCATCTCTAGGATTTCTGGTGGTATCTGAAATGCCAACAAATCAGCTTTTTTTTTCAAGAAACACGAACGAGAAACAGAAAAAGCAAAGCTGTTTGGATATTCCTTCATGGCACGAGTAAGAATAGTAGATTTTCCACCACCAGATGGGCCAGAGAGAACGATTGGACGGCAGGACACCATATCAATTACTGAAAAAAGTTGTCTTTGCGAATTACAGGAAAAAAAATCGAAGAAATTCGAATTATGGGGCACGTCATGTATCTCGTCCATACGAACACCTTAATGAATGAATGCTAAATTGCTCAAATGTCACGGTTTGAATAGACTCAAAGCATAAATGCTGTGCGGATTTCCAACAAATGGGAGAGGAATCATATAATCAGTGGATGAAATCTATAAACATAAGAAAATGTGTTGGCGTGGCGACAACGCCAACACACAAAGAACAGCAAATGAAAAACATGGGCTCATTTTCTTTTTTTTTTAGTTGAAATTGGTCGAATTTTCATACAAAGCGTTTGAATGAAATGGAAACATTCATAGAATCAAACGTGGAATATGTGCATTTGGACAATTCTGTTCAAATATGGTAAAACTATGAAATATCAACATTGTTCAGAGGCAAGGCGAGCTGGACTTGACAGTCTGAGACGCCAGCTATACGAGCCGTACCATCCTCATGGTTGGTGAGGTCAATGAAGGTTCATTGGAGGTCAGCAGGATAGTATAAAGATGCATCTGCCATGACATTATGGATGAGATTCTCGTATAAGGCTGAAGCGATAGAGATATCTCTCGAAAAACTGCGCCAAGATTCATCGGGTCTCGAAACGAATTTCATGTATCTTGGCACAGGAGGGAAGCTATATGCCTTATATAGTAGATATAATTCTCTGCTAACACTTAAGCTGACCGGATAATCCAGCTATGTGCGTGATAGAAAGCCATTAGAGCGAATTAATAAATATGAAGCCTTCGTAAGGTGTTATATGTATGTACGAAAGATGCCTTATCCGTCATCATCCGGAATAAACCAATATTTTGAGGAAAGAAGCGGAACAAATAATAACATAAAAAAACTTTACGAACCTTCTCTTTCTTTACTCGCGATGGAATGAGTTGAGTGAATGGCTGCCGCGTTGTTTGGCACCATTGGTGGAATGTGCGCAAAGGCCATCATAGGCTTGACGAGCATGTTGAGTTGAGCAAGAAAACTCAGTGTGTCTGAAATTCATTTTAAATCGGAGTGTTATCACTTTTAATCATCAAGTGGTTGGCAATAATGTGACATAATCATGATGTGATAAAGAATAATCTATTCAGAAGAATATGGCAACAATTAGTTAAAGAAAGAACAATAAGTCTTATAAACAGCGCGGTCACACGTCCGACTAAATAATAATGTCGTTGACCATAGAACAGATGACGCTTGGAGTAAGCTTTTTTACACTAAAACCTTGCAGAAATTTCATCATCTGCATCAAGAGTGGAATATAAGCTTTAAAAAAAGATTTTCGTCTATTTTAACACTAAAAACTTTTAAGAGAACAAAGAGAAACCAACTAGCGATTGATGAACTTAGGCAAAATAAGTGAGAATTAAAGGACGGTTGCTCCACTGACAATTTTAGCGATCTGTTGCTTCCAACTCAGTATAGCCAGAATATGTAAATGTATGCTTCTGTCATTGAATATAGGTTTCTTATCATTATTATTTTTGTATTCTCTCTCGTTATTATGGAAGAATTGTTAGCTTAGTAATAAGTAGGAAAACATTATATTTATTGATTAATGAGTTCTATGTGTAAATACAATCATGCTATGCTAGAGGTCACTATGTTTTCAACACTATACATCTGTTGGCGTTTTTTTCTAAGAAACCTTGAATAAAAATTTTTTTTTCAATAAATTAATGAATAACTGCTTTCTTAGATGAGCTCCAGTACAGTCGAAGAAATTGAAAAGCTGCGCGAGAAAATAAGATTGCTCACAGAAGAAATTAATAGTGGAGATGTCAAAACAGCCCCTGAACAAACTATGACACAAGCTCCGCAGACGAGAGCGAAAATAGCTCAAATGAGTGCAGAGGTATTGCTGAAAGATCAAGTTTTAAGTTCAAGTGTTGTTTTCCAGGTTGTTGACTCGAACCCGTACAGTCGATTGATGGCTTTGAAGAAGATGGGAATAGTAAAAGATTATGAAAAAATTAGAGAAAAAACTGTTGCTGTTGTCGGAGTTGGAGGTTAGGGGAATAAATGGAATTCTTTATTAATCTGAGTTTACAATAGGAGTTGGAAGTGTTGTTGCTGAAATGCTGACCCGATGTGCTGTAGGAAAAATTATTCTCTTTGATTATGATAAAGTAGAATTAGCAAATATGAACAGATTATTCTATCAACCTCATCAATCAGGTCTCAGTAAAGTAGAAGCTGCTAGAGATACTCTTCGGTTCGTTGTGTGTTTTTGTAAATCATTTATTTACTGTTCGGTCTTCCAGTCATATTAATCCCGATGTCGAGTTCGAGACTCATAACTTCAATATTACTACTCTGGATAATTTCAATAAGTTTATTGACAGGATGAGGTCTCATTTCTGTTTACATTCTTTCATCTCATTTTTTTTCTGCAGACATGGGTCTTTGACAAATGGTAGAGTGGACTTAATCCTCAGTTGTGTTGATAACTATGAAGCTCGCATGGCAGTCAACACAGTTTGTAGTCTTTTTTTCAATTTGATCTGAGTTTTGTTGTTCAGGCTTGCAATGAAGAAAATCAAGTGTGGATGGAGTCAGGAGTTAGTGAGAACGCCATTTCCGGACATATTCAATACTTAGAACCTGGAAGAACTGCTTGCTTTGCGGTAATCATTTCAGTTTGTTTTTATGGAGTTGATACTAGTATTTTAGTGTCTTCCTCCTTTGGTCGTAGCAGAAGGAACAAGCGAAAAAACTCTCAAGAGAGAAGGTGTTTGCGCTGCATCGTTACCTACTACGATGGCTGTTGTTGCTGGATTTTTAGTTCAAAATACCTTGAAGTAAGAGAGCATATGTTTGAAGATTTTAATCAAGAAATACAGATATCTTCTGAATTTCGGTGAAGTATCTATGTATGTTGGATATAACGCATTAGTGGATTTCTTCCCACGCGAGGAGATGTATCCAAATCCTCAATGTGATGACAAGTTTTGTAGAAAACGACAGAAAGAATATGCTGTATGTGTTCGTTGCTAGCCTCAAAGAATAATACGATTTCAGGAGACTAAGAAAAATGAAGTTCCTCAAGAGGTTGAAGTCGTAGAAGAGTCTGTTGTTCATGAGTCCAACGAGTGGAATATTCGTAAGTTCAACTCACAACTACCTCACTACTTCGAACTCTTAGAACTTGTTGACGAGTCAGCTATTGAAGAAAATGTAACAACTGTTGGTGCCGGACTAAGATTCGCTTATGAACTTCCTAACAAGAAGGAGGATGAGGAAGAAGAGGTCTCAGTCAAATAGCAAAATATATAATTATAATCTTTATTTCTACAGGAAGTAACACCAGCTGCAGATTCGGGCAAGGATTTAGCGGCTTTGATGGCGCAATTAAAAGGACTTTAAAGCATTTCCGAAAGATTCGTGATTCTTCTGTGATTTCCCAAGCTAGTTCTTATGAGAGTTTCTGTAGATTATTTATTCTTTTAATTTAATTTCTATCTTGGTTTCTCGATGGCTTCATAATGGTGTTTTATATAATTTATTGAAATTTTTATGCTTTTAATAAAATTATACCCGTATTAGTGTATAGCAACATTTGAAACCCTGTTGTGAATTAAACATCGTAGCGGGACGGACCTCCACCGAGCTTGATTTCTTTCGACTCGGAGACCATACACAGATATTCTCCGAGAACTGTGCATATCACCGCAGAACCGATTTGAAGTAGCCACCAGAAAATGAAAGTTGGGATACTTCCATTAAAAATAATGCAAAAACTAAATTGAAAACTAGACAAGAGTTTTGTATATCAAACTTACACAAGATGGAAAAAATGTAAAGTACAGGTAAAGTCTAAACACTGCTTAGCTCTCTGTACAATTATAGACAGAGCAAAAGCACACGATACACTTCCGATAAGTTGAATCAAGGCCATGATTCTCGAAGGCTGGAAAGAATTTCTTTCGCTTGAATTGACATTTAACTCACTTGCAAGGAAAAAATATGGCTCACAGAAGGATCATAGCTTGTAATTGTACTATAAGCTAACATACAAACACATTCAACTGTGTAGAAGGAAGTTTGAACAGCGAACATTTGACTGATTAATAGCGTAGGATCCCATATGAATGATCGAAAAGAGCTCATTTTCTAAAAACGATACTGCATGAAGTTTCTGAATCTTTGAGAAACAGAGATAGAAAAAATCAAGAAAACGTAGACGACTTCAGATCATGACGTCACATTACACGTTGACGTTAATTTTAATTCTGTACGCAAAAGTTTCTTGTGCGCTTTGTACAATACGTATCAACGTTATATTATAATTATTTCAACTTTTTAAACCCATTCCGGCTTCTTTTTTTTCTTTTACTTTTAGAACATATTATTTCATAAGCTATTGTTTTAGACAATGTCGAAAACAGCAGTTGTGACCACTACTAGGCAAACTAAGAAAAGATCTGCAGCAAAGAAAGAAAAAGCAGAAGTGGAAGAGCCTAAGAAAGAATTAGAAACTCTAAAATCTGAAACAGCGGAAACCAAAACTTCCCGACGAAAGGAAAAACCTAAAGTAGTGGATGAATATGCATACGATTCATCTGATGAAGAGGTAGAGTTCTGTAAAAGGTAAATGACTGAAGTTTGTTTTTCTAGGATTTGCGTAACACAATAGGAAATATTCCAATTGAATGGTACGATGATCACGATCACATAGGATATGATAAATTTGGAGAAAAAATAATCAAACCCAAGAAGAAAGATGAAATTGAAACTTTCTTAGAGAAAATGGAAGACCCAGATTATTGGTAGTTTTTTCATTCAACTTACCCCTTTTGATACTTCAATTTTAAGGCGTAAAGTATTTGATCGTCAAACTGGACAAGATGTTATTTTAACTGAGGAACAAGTAAGCTTAGCTTTCCAAGCTTCAGTATTTGTATTGCTTGCAGATTAATAAGATCAGAAGTATTGCCTCAGGAAAATACCCAGTCGCGACTTATAACCCATACGAACCATTCCTTGATCTATTCTCTTCTGAGAAATCTATCCACCCTATTGATAATACGTAAGAGGAAATATATTTGTATTTCCAAAACAATGTATGAATTACAGTCCGGAACCCAAAGCTCGATTCATTCCTTCTAAGGATGAAATGAAGAAGGTTTCTCGTATGGTTCATGCCATTCAAATGGGATGGTCTCAAATTGGGCCTAAACGTAAAGAGGAGAAGAAAGTGTACGATTTATGGGCTTCTGAAGATCATATGGAACATTTGAGTAAATCTCAGTTAGCCCGTATGAGGGTTCACATGCCTGCGCCTAAGGTATATTCTTGCTTCGCATCATATTTAAAATGCATAAACTCAGCTTCCATTGCCTAATCATTCTGAGTCTTACAATCCACCTGAGGAATTCTTGATGGATGAAGAGGAAAAGAAGAAGTGGGAAGCCACAGAACCTGAAGATCGTACTCGTACATTCATACCTCAGAAGTTTGATGCTCTGCGCAAGGTTTGATTTCTTGTTCAGATCAACCTTTAATATTATTCCAGGTTCCACAATATGACAAGTTTATTACTGAGAGGTTCGAGCGCTGCTTAGACTTGTACTTAGCTCCAAGACAGAGAAAGATGAGAGTGAGCCTATTCTATCAAGCAATTGTTTCTCAGTAACAATCTTTCAGATTCATGCTGATCCTTCCGATTTACTTCCCGATTTACCAAACCCCAACGATCTCAAACCTTTCCCAACTACATTGGCCTTTGTGAGTTTTCATACACAGCTGTTCAAAATTGTGTAGCAACAGTTGATTCTTTGGGAATGATGTACATGAATGGTTCCCTATTTTTAGTACATGGTTGGTCATGTTGGACAAGTTCGTACACTGTCGGTCGAACCAGAGAAAGGACAGCTTCTTGCGTCAGGAGGTGAAGATGGAACAGTTCGCATATGGGCAATGGATACTGGTCGGTGTCTTAAAGTAAGACCGAAAATCTCGAGTTTGATCCCCACATACATGTTTTAAGGTTTTCAAAGTTGATGGCCCGGTCACATCTGTTGCATTCTGTCCTATCGCTACTTCAACATTACTTGCTGTATCTTATGAAGGAAAGGAGGTTAGTTTCATGATTCCGATGCATCTAAAAGATAGCTTTCAGGTTGCTATATTCAGTACTCAGTGTGGAGATCGTCTATTATTATCTAATGCAGAGAAACAGTTGAAGGATATTCCTGTGGGTGAGGATCCAGAGAGCGCGATTGATTGGAGACGACACAAAGATAAAGACAGAGTTATTCTGCGTATGCCTAATGTAAGGGATAAGGAAAAAGCAGATAATATTGCTCCTTTTTCTAGGAAGTTAGAAAGGTTACCTGGCATGCACGTGGAGACTATTTTGCCACAGTATCTGTTGATGACATTGCAGCTTCAGTTTATATTCACCAACTTAGTAAAGCTAAATCTCAGGTAAACCGTTATTATTGCGGATCACTCAATGTCTTTTTCAGTGTCCATTCACGAAAAGAAAAGGTCATATTCAAACTGTTGCTTTCCATCCTACTCAAGCTCGCCTCTTTGTGGCAACTAAGATTCATATCAGAGTCTATGATTTGGCCCGTTGTCAACTTGTCAAAAAATGCATAACAGGAATCAAACATATTGGTTCTATGGTACCTGATTCTCATGGAGATGTAAGTTTTCGTCTATATGAAACATTTATCATCTGGTTTTAGAATCTTTTCGTTGGAGGATTAGACAGAAAGTTCTGCTGGATGGATCTAGAACTATCAAACAAACCATGGAAGAGATTGAAACATCATTCTTCGGCTATCAGATCAGTTGCTTATCATAAGAAGTAAGTAATTATTCCAGCTGCTTTTTAAATTTTTTGTTCCAGATACCCATTATTAGCGTCTGTCAGTGACGATGGAACTGCAATGATTTACTATGCCCGTATACATACTGACTTGGCTAAAGATAATGAACTTTATCCTGTCAAGAGATTATATGGTCACCAACAGGTATTTCGCAATTACTATACATCTATCTATACATATTCTTTAGACTAATGATTTACATATGTTGGACTGTGTATGGCATCCCACTCAAGCTTGGCTACTTACAGCAGGCGCGGATGGCAAAATTGGATTGTTTAGTTATTAATTTGTTGTCTTCAAAAACCGTTAAGGTTTTGTTGTCCTTGTTATGGCGGTTTGTCCGTTTTGTTGTTTTTTCTTTGTTGTCCACTGCTCCTTGTTATATTTAGAATAAATCGGATTTTTACTAAATTGAAAGTGTGACTCCGTGTTGTAGAACGAGGCCGATCTTAAACATCAAGAGGCATACTAAGAAAACGGTGTCGGGATATTACCTAACCATTTTAATTGGAAACACAAGTAATACAAATAACATGAGCTAATCCTTTGTCTTCTTTACTGCCCGCTTAGTATTCACAACATAAAATAATAGATATGGATATAAGATATGACTAAGATAAAAAATACAGAAAGAGTTTCTAGACAGTCTCTTATCCACGAAATTATAACGGTCAAGGCCATAATGAACTGTTGATAGATAGATAGATTAGAAATGTGTTTGAAAATAAGGAAGCGTAATAGGAACAAAACCCCTCAACCGCTTCAAGCACTGCAAAATTTAAAAGTGATGTTGCTCACGTTATTTACGTGAACTTTAGTAACGTTGCTTGTTCATTTCAAATTCCGTCAGATATAGAGTTTGAGCGGGTAACTCGTAAAGTATCTTTCTACGTATCTCCTAAACAAATCTGTGAGAAATGTTGATTAGAGGATATTCTCGTTTTCGTTCGAAATTAGCCAATGATGTATTCTTTTGTTGTAAGATTATTCCACACAAGCTGTGCTGATAAGTTGAAATTCTTCAATTAACTGACCCATCTTTTTCGGCAAATATAATACCTCGCTGTAAGTTGAATGACCTACTGAAACTATTAGGAGAGAGAGAAGTTGAAAATGAGAAAGATAAGAATTTTTCGAAAAGTGATGGTTGAACATTTTACACAACATTCGCCAGAGGGGGTCAAACAAGCAAAAGACAGTTCGTACGTGGGTTAGTGGGTGGCTACAACTGAAATATTTCATGACTACGGGAAAAATTAACAGACAAAAACGGAAAACTGAAATATTGTTTGAATTTGAGATGGTTGAGAAGACGAGTATCATTGGAAGTGATAGCTAATTGTCATCCGTTTCATGCTGTTTCTGAAGGCGAAGCCACAGGAATTCAGGTCAAAAAGCGCTAAAATGCCGCGACGTCCGCCTCCAATTGTCCTAATTAGCATCGTCTTTGGGAGACGTCTAGAACGATCACGACAGAATCATCAGCCGGTAACGGTCCGTCATGTCGTCTAGCTTTTCAATAAACTATCTCCGTACGTCACTGACCTTCTTGAGTTTTAAGCAAATGCTTTTATACCTGACCCAGGCTCAAACTTTTAAACTTGTTTATGTTAATCTTCCTTTGGTATAGATACTCTAGTAGATCTTTGAAATTGAAGTAGTTAGCCTTTTCTAACCAATTTAGCCTACTTCTCCGACAGCCTGGGGTCAAGATCACTAAAATCCTTCCTAACACGGAAGGTTGTTTAATTCGTTTAGCTCTTCTTTTTGTTTCAATCGTATTAATGAAGTTCCAGCATCTTAGTAACAGTTCTTCATTGTTTCTCTAAGTTTCATATTTTATCCAAACCTTTTGAATCTTAAATTCTTTACTCTTTCTCCAAGTTCATTGCATGGTACTTAGCTCTACGCTTGTTATCAAACGGGAATCCTATTCTCTCTTGTGTCTTTCATGGTTAAGTTTAGCAGAAACGGTACTTGAAGAGTAGATTCTTCTAGGAGCATATGCAACTTCTTCGATGGAGCTTATCCTTTGTTTTTTTTGAAGAAACGTTCTCAACAGTTCCAATGTATCTTGGCAATATAGGATAGCTTTCTTATCGTGCTATCTTGACTTACTTGTGTCATATCTCAAGGTGACATCACCTGAACATAAATGAGAAAAAGAGGACCCAGATTGTTAGAGAAGAGAAGGCGGGAATGATGGACGATAATGTCGAATATCTCAAAGACTTAGGTCAAACTCAAAGATATTTACATCACCCCCTGCTTGAGGTTGTGCCAAATCCTTTTAAGTAAAGCAAGACATCAGAATTTTCATTAAAACTTTCCATTTCCATCGAAATGAAATTCTATTTTTTTTTCTCGATTCTACGCACTTTCTTCTGTTGTTGTCGTGATAGAAATTTGATTTTTCGGTCAAAAAAGATATTGTCCATCTGTTTCGAAACCTCGTTGTGACAGTTTCATCCGAATTCGGTTGCTTTCTAAATCCTCTTAAAGTTAAACTTTACACTTGAAAATATGAAAGAGACAGCGAATTCTCTATCGAGTTCGTAACTGTCTCTTCTCCTAATGCCCTACTAACTTTTGACATTTATAATTCAATTGACGAAACTCTTGATATCCATCTTGACACTCTTCTGTTGTACTTTCCTGAATCATAAGCGTTGAAAAGTCATGTGTTCTGGTGGATTTGTTCCTTTTCAGTAAAATTCCGAACAATGCTCAAACATTTACATTCTGCCCTCAATAAATATTTTCACCTTTTCTGCTTAATTAAATTCTATTGTCCTTGATTTGTTGCGAGAAAGAAAAGCAATGAAACTGATGCGTTCCATTTGAATTTTATGAATTTTTTTTACCTTTTCTTCTAATGTCCTATTCATCCTAATCTAATTTGTCTCCACCCATACAAAAACTGAATGAATGATAATCATCAAGACCGGAAAACGATAGGAATTTTCTAAAAAGGCTTCGTGACCCACGATTTAGTCATTCGAAATCCTGTTGATCTCATGATAAATAAAGCAGTTCACCCAGTGTCTTCGCTTTTCACCTAAAAAACTTATTTCTCTTTCTATTCATCTTTTGTGTTGTACTATTTTTTAATTCTCAGATAATGAAATCATTATTTAGGGTAGCCGCTTGCACCAGTCGGCCAGCAATGCACTGGCCCGTCCTTTTTGTAGCTGCTTTAGCAGTCTATACCCAAGCCAGCTCCATAAGTAAGTAAAAACATGAACGTATTAACAGTTTAATGATTTTAACCTTTTTACTTTTTTGATTGTCTATGAAAAGAGGGCATCTCTGCAGGTGGGGGTCGAAAATGTCCTTGTCCCTTCGGCTGTTATCATAAATACAAAAAAAGTGAGAAAAGGCGCGCTAAGAGAGGGGTGCAGAGAAAAAAATTGTCAACCTTCGGCTTCCGCCATTAATAATGTCATCAATGTGCGTGGAAATGGACAAAGAGTGGACGATCTCTGAGTCATCCACCTCAATTCGTTATCTCTTTTTGCGTCTTCTTCTAATTTTGTTCTCATTCTCGATTTGGAGATTCCAAGAACATTCTATTAGAAGAAAGGATGAAAAAAATTGCGAAACATTAACCTTAGTGGGAAACATGAAGAGAAAAAGAAAAACGTTGTTGAACGATTCTCGTGCAACCTTTTTCTCTTAACATCTGACCAATTGGCCGATTTCTTTTTGATATCAGAACATTAGCGAAGAAAAACGACATACAAAAAGTGTTAATCTGTTTTAATAAACTAATAAGGTCACGCAATCATGAATCTGTGGGAAAGAATTTGAAATGAAAATTTGATTTGCTTTTTACATAAACGCGTGCATAGGGTTGTTTTCATTTTTGAAATTTACGCCAATGCATGCGGTTGCGTAATTGTATGCTCCATTCACACATCTCATTTAAATTTTTCAGAATCTGTTCCTGCCTGCGCTGCCGGAGAGCAATCAGTTCTTCTTTTGGAACATAACGCTACAGTTGGAGCCGTTCTTCGAACTCTCCCATCTGTTTCTTTCGCTGACTGCAGTGATCACTGCTCATCTTCTCTTGTAGGCGTCATTTTTTCCTTCACATCTTCATATCCTTGCTTTTATTAGGACTGTCATGGAGCCGTTTACACAACTGCTGAATGTAAAATTTTTGGTGAAGGAGAAGAAAAAGCTCCTGAAGGAACCAAAGTTTTGAAGAAGAATTGTGTCAAGAGTGACAGAGTTTGCTCTTCTCCATTCCACTTCGACGCTTTCGAGCAAAAAATTTTAGTTGGATTTGCTCGCGAAGTAGTACCAGCTGAAAACATTCAAGTATTCATTTAGTTTCAGATATTTTCTATTGAAATATGCTTTCAGGTTTGCATGGCTGCTTGTTTGAACTCTTTTGATACCTTCGGATTTGAGTGTGAATCTGTTATGTACTACCCAGTAGATAAAGAATGTATCCTCAACACCGAGGATCGTCTTGACAGACCAGATCTTTTCACTGATGAAGTTGACGACACTGTTGTGTACATGGATAACAATTGTGCTGGATGTGAGTTTTCTGCTTCATCCGATGAATCGTAATCCTTGTTTTTTTAGCCCAATGTTATGCTCCATACATAACCCAGTACATTGCTGTTGAAGGAAAGCAACTCGAGAATGAGCTTGATCGTATCATCAATGTCGACCTTGATTCATGCCAGAGTCTTTGTACTCAACGCCTCTCTGTATCTGCTAATGATTTCAACTGCAAATCTTTCATGTACAACAACCAATCCCGCACCTGTATCCTTTCCGATGAACGTTCTGCTCCAATGGGACGTGGTAACCTCGTCTCCACTCCCGGCTTCACCTATTTTGAGAAGAAATGCTTTGCATGTGAGTTACAATTGATGACAACGAAGTTGAATATTCTTTTTTCAAGCTCCCAACACTTGCCGCAATGTCCCATCTTTCACCAGAGTTCCCCAAAAGATTCTTGTTGGATTCGCTGCTTTCGTTATGGAGAACGTTCCATCTGTCACCATGTGTCTCGACCAATGTACCAAGTAATTGTAAACAATATTTATATTTCTGATCGCATTTTTTAGCCCTCCACCTGAGACTGGAGAGGACTTCGTATGCAAATCTGTTATGTATTACTACAACGAACAAGAATGCATTTTGAATGCTGAAACCCGCCACAGCAAGCCAGATCTTTTCATCGCTGAAGGAGAAGAGTTCCTAGTTGACTACTTCGATATCACTTGTCACCTTGAAGCTGAGAAATGTGCTCCAGGAAGCCATTTGAAGGCTGTCCGCACTATCAACACAGCTCTCCCAGAAGGAGACGGAGAATTACATGTTCTGAAGAACGTCGGAACAGGTGTTCAAGATTGCATGAAGAAGTGAGATTGTTGTCGCAAATAACGGTTTCCTCATACTTCGTTTCAGGTGTTTCGAGATGGCTCCAGAAAAATGCCGCTCTTTCAATTTCGACAAGAAGACTGGTACTTGTGATCTTCTCTACTTGGACGGAAAGACCACACTCAGACCCGCAGTTCGTCAAGGAACAGACTTGTACGACCTCCATTGCTTAGCTGGTAAGTCTAAATTTCTTAGCCAAGGTTCTTTTCACACAAATCGTACAAATATGCATGATATATACTTCTAAGAAGCTTGAACTATCCCAACTAATTGAATAATATTAATACTTATCCCAATTTCACTGCATGATGCACGTGCATGGCTAAATCTGCAGAAAGAACAATACTTTCAATTTTTAATAGCGTTAACTTTAGTTGAAGCTGAGTGCTCCACTAAGAAGGAAGATGCTCTTTTCTCCCGCTATTTGTACACCAAGCAACATGGAATCCCATCAAAGACTTACAAGATTGTTTCCCTCAACTCCTGTCTGGAAGTATGCGCTGGAAACCCAACGTGAGTTCAATACTTCGCTAAACCAAAAAACTTACTTATTGTAGCTGCGCTGGAGTTAACTATAACCGCCGTCTCGGACAGTGCGATGTTTTCGATGCTATTGATGACGCCTCTGATGTTAATGAGCATGTCGACTTCTACAAAAACCTCTGTGTTGTAAAGGAGGAAGACTCTGGCATCTCAGCTGCCGCCAACGTCCCAACTCCTACCCACCGTGTTAGCGGAACTGTCACTGGAAAAGACAAGAGTCATCTCTCTGCTAGCAAGAAGGTCAAGCCACATATCAAGGAACAGGAACATCGCCGTGCCCCAGAATCTGTTCTTCCTCTTGGTCCTCCAGTATCTATCCCTGCTGATGCTATCCAAACCCTTTGCAACTACGAAGGAATCAAAGTACAAGTTAACAATGGAGAACACTTTAGCGGAGTTATCTTCGTCAAGAATAAGTACGATACTTGCCGCGTAGAAGTTGCTAACTCCAACTCTGCCACCCTCAACCTTGGTCTTCCTAAAGACTTTGGAATGAAGCCTATTGCTCTCGCTGAAGGAGAAGAATCTACAACTGAAGTCTCTGCTAAGGCTGAGCTTGTGAAAGAAGGTGGAGAGCTTGAAGAGTTCAAGAGACACAGAAGACAAGTTGAAAGCCGTGACTGTGGAATCGTAGACATGGTAAGTTTCGAACAACAAATGCTTACCTAACCCCTTGTTTAAGCTCAATGGAACATATAAGACTACTGTTGTTATTCAAACTAACAACCTCGGTATCCCAGGACTTGTAACTTCAATGGATCAACTTTATGAAGTTTCTTGTGATTATTCTAGCATGCTCGGAGGAAAAGTTCAAGCTGGATACAACATGACTGTCAAGTAAGATTTTGCAGAATTTGTGAATTACATACAACCCATTTTTCAGTGGACCAGAACCAAATCTCATTCAACCAAGAGGAAAGATCGAACTTGGAAACCCTGTTTTCATGCAACTTCTCGGTGAAGGAGAGCAACCACTCACCCAAGCTAAACTTGGAGATATCCTCGAGCTTCGTTGGGAGATTATGGCTATGGATGATGAGCTTGATTTCTTCGTCCGTAAGTGTCATGCCGAACCAGGAGTCGGAGCCAAGAGCGATGAAGAGAAGGAGAAACTTCAACTTATTGATGGTGGCTGCCCAACTCCAGCTGTTGCTCAAAAATTGATCCCTGGACCAGTCGAAGTTCAAAGCAGCAAAGTCAAGCTCACCAGAATGCAAGCTTTCCGTTTCGATTCTAGCAGCACCATCAGAATCACTTGCGAGCTCGAAATCTGCAAGGGAGATTGCACTCCTGTTGAATGCCCATTGGCTCATGGACAAAAGCAAAGCTGGGGCCGCAAAAAGAGAGATATCGACAACTCTATCACTGATTGTAAGTTTGCAGTTAAATTTTTTTATTTCTATATTCCTTGTTCAGATGAAACTGCTCGTTACAAAATTCCAAGAATTTCTCAAGCTACCACAAGTCTGGTTGTTGTTGATCCACTTCAAATGGTACAAGAACCAATCAGTTTGGCTCGCGCCAGTGCTTTGGATATGATGCAAGAAGATGCTCAAGAAGTTTCTTTGGAGATGCCAGGCCAGATGTGCATAGGAAAGGTCGCACTTTACGGAGTTTTCGGAATTCTTATCACCCTTACCATCATTCAAGCCATAGTTTTGCTTCGCTACGTCCTTCGACGCAAACCTTCCAAGAACTAACCAGGTTAAGTAACGTACTTGAGAAGTTGTCGTAGACATTTAGCAGAGCTATTTAAACTTGCATTATTAATAAATCCACTAAAACACTCCAAGTGCTTTCGCATCTCTCGTATGACTATCTCATCAAATTCTCCAAAGCAATAACGTGACAACTCTTGTCATTTTCTATATTCTTTTTGTCGAAAAGCACTTCATTTGGTTTCAAATTTCGCTGCTTGCCCCACGTACGGTTACCATTGTTCACACATTCCCTAAATGACAAAAATGATGTCCTTTTAGTCTTGAATATTAATGTTTCGTCTGTTCTTGTGGAAATTTTATTAATAATAATATTAATGAACAATAAATATATAACTTAATAATTCATAGTTTTCAATAGCTACAAGTTAAAACAGACCCGTCTCACGGACTTTAAAATATGAAATTAAGTATTGTACCCGTGGTCATCCCCTACTGGGTTTCCGTTGTTGCTTCTGCAGTGTTCTCTGACGATGCTAGTAAGTATTCTTCCGATTTGCAAGAGGCCAGACAAAGTGATGCGTTCCAAATGAATGTACCAACGAAAGTTAGAAGGGGTAAACTCCATGAACCGAATACCATATACTCGCTGAGCATTTGTTGGAATGTTGATATCACCTGAAACAGCTTGACAATTAGATCAGTCATACTAACACTCTAACAGTTGAATAATCCAGTTCAATCTCTGGTAATAATAACAATGGTCGTATAACTGTCATCACGGCCATTATCACCAAGATAGGATGTGAGATGAGATTCACGGCTGTCCGAACCAACACTTTCCGACTGAAATAGCATTTTCTGAATCTGCATAGCTTTTGAAAACCATACTTCTCAGTTACTGAGCGTGTGAATACTATCATGAGTGGAGTGATAACTACAGAACATGCCAAAGCCAACGAAAAGTTAATTAGAGATATTGATACGCAAAGTAACGCTGTTTCCAAGTATAATAGGAACCGCATGCAGCTATAAGTTAGCGGATGTCTGAAAGAAATATTCGCGTAAACCAAGAAGATATAAATTCTCACAAAGGAGATATTAAACCAAACGGAATCAGCAAGATTCCCATGAGAGCCAACACAGATGTTTCAGTTGCCACAGTTTTGGCAAAATAAATCCTGATGGCCAAAGTCACAACAAGTCCAGGAATATGAAGGAGAACAAAAGACAGTGGAACCCGAAAGACGACCATCTCTGTCCACTCCTTATATGCCTGAATTTAGAATTCACTTCTACATCACCTTCAATTTTCCAGACATACCAATAATACTAATGGTAGGAGAACAGCCATAGCAGGCATGAAGTAGGCGATTGACAGAAAATTAACTTCAGATGTCAAAATATACCTAAGCATGAGATGGACTGCTGAATATTTTCTCAGTACTTACATGAAATAGCTTTGATGGAATCTTTCTAAGATATTGTTCAAAGTTCGAACACTTGCCTCAACGAAAAGCGTCGACTCTTTCAAAGAGTATAATCTTCTCGATGGGACTCCTATAGTCAAACCCTAAAAACAATAATTTCATTTCAAGTTCTTGAAGTGAACAAACCTGAACACCAAACTTGCTCATAACACTATGAGTACCTTCAATGGCGATGAAGGCTTGGGTATACATGGCTCTCAACGGAATAAGCAAAGGGTTTTTTTCAACCTCCTTAAGTATATATATATATATATAACTACCAGTTCTTCAGAGAATGTTTCAATACTTGTAAGATGTTATGAATGTTGTAAATAATCGGTTCCATGATAGGGGATTTCCTTGATGAAATACGAACGAGAGAATTGAACAAGTCAAGGTTAGGCAGTTGTCCGTTTATTTGATTGAGTTCTATAGTGATAATTGGATTGTTCAACGGGCGATGTGCATGAGTCTGTAAAAATAACTCCAGTTTAGAAACATAGAAAAGTTCGAAATTACTTTTACGACTAAGCCACCAATAATTGCTCCACCATTGACATGTAGCCCCTCTCCCTGAAGTCCAAAACCACGAACATAATGATAACTGGATAGAAATGCGTCTAAACCCATGGCGCCATGCTCAACGAAAACAAAAAATATATCGCGGGCCCAATATACTTGTCCTGAAAATACTAATATTCCTATCATCTACGCATCAAAAACATACGTCTTGCATACACGGCAAAAGCCATGGCTAAAGCCACAGAATCATGATCCTCTACATCCACAATGATAAGCATCGATTCCACCCCCGTAGATCTGTGAGCACGTACTACCGCATAAGAATTATGAGCTGTGATATTCTAAAACTGATATTGAAACGACTTTTCATGTGTCAGTTTACTTTTATGGCTACTAAACTAGCCCACTGTTGGTGGTAACATGGTACTGATGCTTCTTCCAAATTTTGACAAACAAACTCTCTAACATTTCTAAAATGAAGCTGTTTAGAAAATTTGGAGTTGAAAAAATTACCCTGTGTGCGATGACAGCCCCTGAATATATTGTAACAGAAGTACGTCATCATTGAAATGAACATTGACTAGTCCAGGCATCAATGCATGCTCGCTGACTCTTAAATAAGTAACAGTCAAAAGTATAAGTAGAGTTACCAAAAATAGACATGAAAACAAAATCAAACTAGCCTCGTATGTTCTGCGTATGGTCCAAATCCTCCTATCATGTTCCATATATACACAAGTGCACCAATATATAGTAGAATCGAGAGCTTCTTAACATGAACCAGTATTTTCTGGAGAAACGCCGGTCTTTCCCCACTGGCGCTTTCCAGAGATGCTCTAATCATCTTGAATCAGAAAGTTTAACACTTCTTAATACGTTTCCATGGTACTCAGTATGTAGACATGTGTGAGACATGACATTAGACATAAACGAATGAAGAGATTGAAATTAGTTTATGAGGATATTAAATAAATTAGAAGCATATTGATATATCACATTATTCTCAAAATGGAAAAGAAGTAGTTACAATTAATAGTTCCGAATTCTCAACAGAATCGGCTCAACCCGCTTATTATGAGTGTCAGCGTACAAAATTCTACGAATTACATGTCAACACCACCCTTATATGCATAACGTTGTTTGTCTAAAAACTTCTTCAGGTCTCCACAACATTCGCAACATGACTAGTACTACTTGCTTAAGTAAAACATCCGGATTATACGGAATATTCAAACGCTGGTTTGCTATAATATGGATTTACGAAGGGATTCAACCATCTCATACTGCAAGGCCCTCCAAACACATACTGTAAGTTTTTCCATGATTTGCCTTTGATTTTTTCAACTTTAGGACTGTAATACAAACGATGAAAAAAAAGATGCTCCATGGACAACTCACTTTTTCATGGCATCGATAGTCGATTCGTCACTACATATGGCCGATATTTGAGTCCCAAACATGACTAAGGTAAAGATTGAGAAGAGTATCGATTCAAATAAGAGGAAAATCTGAAATGATGATTCAAAAAGCTATACTTCACAGAATTGTACCAATAGAAGAGTTGTCCCCGGAGGTCCTATGGCACTACATTCGTTCCACTCATTCCCAACACATAGTATAAGCTGCCATATTCCCCAGTAAAGGGCGTGCATTGATAGGAGAGCAATATAGAGCTGCAACTAGACATATAGAGCAAATAATGAGTCAATCTGTACCGTGAACAAGACAAAAAACTTTTGGTTTCCCTCTCCGACACAGTTGTTAACCCATGGACAATGGTGATCCATACGTTTAATGCATCGTTCACAAACGGAACAATGATGAGCTTTCTCAGGTTTGATACTACAGCATTTTTGGCATTTATATAAAACCTAATGAGATACTTTGAAAGAATGGATTGAATATATAACATACTCTCATCTCTTCTGCAGCTTGTAGTCTTTCGATATGTTCATCTGTAGCGTTTCCTTTAGGTATGGCACCAGGATTAGTTAACATAGTCTGAAAAATAGAAACTAAGAGATTTAACGGATACCTACTCAAACCTTGATATGACTGACAAAAGCTAAAACAAAAAAAATTTGAAACAATAAGAAGTTAATAGCTGTGTGGAAGGTGTACTTCTCCCAAGCAGATAACATTACAATTGAGATAACTACTTGGCCATAAATGAGAAGAAGCCTGTAAAACCCTAATACTTAAATAACTCAACTGATGATATCCTTACCATGTCACTATTGCACAAGCGATTCCACAAGGATCGCTAACACACCAATTTCTTCCGCAACACTGCGTTTTTTCCCTCATTTGTTCATAGTCTAGAGATTTTCATGTTGGATGATATGATTTTTGTGAAAGTAAAAATGGATTTGGGAAGTGTAACCAAGCTATTCATAAGAAAAACTAACAGTAACAACTTTTACTTCAACGTTTGCATTATATTACGGAGTACATATTAACGATTACGAATAATAAGGTTTAGTGAATATTGTAGGAGATTTAAAGACGTTTTGGTCTGCTAATTTGAATACGACCAACAAGCACGACAACACGTGACAACAAATAGATCATTGAACTTTGAACGAATGCGCAAGCAACATTAACAAATTAGATCATTTCAGCGATGTTCATCGGCATTTCATCGATTTGAGTAGAGTAGTACTGCTCAATATCTCTGAGGATTCTGACATCATCTTGTTTAACGAAATTGATGGCAACACCCTGGAAGATGAAGTATTAAAGATCCAAATGGTTTGGCAACTCTACCTTTCTTCCGAAACGACCTGATCTACCAATACGATGAATGTACAACTCACGATTATTTGGAAGATCATAGTTGATAACCTAAAAGTATGAGCGTCGATATGCAATGAAGAAAAGAAAACGTACCAAAGATACTTGAGGAACATCAAGACCACGAGCCCAAACATCAGTGGAGATCAGAACACGACTGCTTCCGGCTCTGAAATCCTTCATAATCTGCTCTCTTTCTTTCTGCTCCATATCTCCGTGCATGGATGATACAGTGAAGTTAGCTTCCTTCATTTTCTCAGCCAACCAATCAACCTATTCGAAATCGTTGAGAATAGAAAGCAGATAATGCACAAACCTTTCTACGTGTATTACAGAAGAGAACGGCTTGAGTAATCGTGAGAGTATCATAGAGATCGATTAAAGTATCGAACTTCCACTCTTCTCTGTCAACAGCGACGAAGAACTGTTTGATTCCTTCTAGTGTCAACTCATCACGTTTTACCAAAATGCGAACTGGGTCAGTCATGAACTTGCTTGTCATCTCCAAGATTTCATGAGGAAGAGTAGCAGATAGGAGTACAACCTATTAATGAAAACTTAAATCTCGAAATAATATAATGTCTTACTTGAGCTCCAGGAGGTAAGTATCTGTAGATATCATAAAGTTGTTCTTTGAATCCCTTATTAAGCATTTCGTCAGCTTCATCAAGAACCAACAATTTAATGGAACGAGTACGGAGATTTCTACGTCTGATCATGTCGAAAACACGTCCTGGAGTTCCAGAAACCTTAAAACACACTAATAAATACAGCAGCGATAAAGATAACATACGACGTGTTGTCCGTAGTCGAGCTTACGGATATCTTCTCCAACGTTGGTTCCTCCGATGCAAGAGTGGCATTGAACATTCATGTAATCACCAAGAGCAAGAATAACCTTTAACAAACAATTAGATATTGATGTTGCCAGGGGAAAAATTTTACCTTTTGAATCTGAGTAGCCAATTCTCTTGTTGGTGACAAAACCAAGGCTTGTGTCTCTCTTAATTGAGTATCAAGAGATTGGAGGATGGAAATAGAGAAAGTGGCCGTTTTACCGGTACCTTAAAATGATAAGGCATGAATCATGAATTCTGACATAGATTTACCAGATTGGGCTTGAGCGATGACATCTCTTCCCTTAAGAACAGGCTTGATAGCACGTTGCTGAATAGCTGATGGTTTCTCGAAACCATAAGAGTAAATACCACGAAGAAGTTCCTCTCTTAACAAAAACATTAAATAAAGGAAAGAGTTCAAGCCTTCATACCTCAATCCCATAGCATCGAAAGTTGGACAAACTTCAACATCTTCAGATGTTTCGAATTCAATCTTGGACAAGTCCTCAGAAGTGGGCTCAGCTGCGTTTCTCTTCTTTCCCGACATCTGTTAAAATGATTAATAAAAGGAAAAACATTCAAGCAAATGTATGTGAATCGATCTAACGACTTCGCAAAGAAAATTAAAACAAAATAAATAACTTTAGAGACAATTTTCCAAGTTAAAACACATTTAGTATTTTCACAAGACGCAATCCTAAACGGAAAAGAGCCCAGATTGGGTAATAGCATAAACAATCTACGTGCTCACCGAGTTACACTTGTCACCTTACCCATTATCTATACACTATTGTCAGAAGGATTAAAAAAATTTTACAGAATTTAGGATATTTTGTACAACTAGGCGAGCAGCTGCCCAGTAACGAAAGGAAATGTTCAAAACGGACAAAGCAAGCATAAATTGTACGGATGAGTTGGGCAAAAAAAAATTAAAGTCCTCAGATAAGCTTTCCGAAAATGAGTCCGATCAGCAGAGCCGCAACAGCCATGAGTATAACTTGAAGAGTTGGAACTCCAACCTCAGAGCGTTCAGAATCGTTTTGAAGCTTGGCGACTTTCTGAAAAGAACACGATGCTACAGGTCATCATCATACCAGTTGACATACCTTCAGAACATCGTCCAAATCTTTTTTCAAACCCTTCTTTTCTCTTTCTAAACGATCAACTTCAACTCGGAGCTTTTCATCTACTTGCTGAAACAGATAAACATAATGCACATAAGCTTTTGAATAAAAACCGTGTGGCTTTTCGAAGGAGTTTCCTTAGCCCTAGGTTGGTTCTCGGATCCCGACGGACTAAAGAAAATATTCGTTGCAGAATTTTAAAAGCGGACTTACCTAGCTCCACTCTGAGCATAATGAATGGCTGCTGGTGATTCTTCACGTGGCATTGAAAGGGCAGGTGATGTACTCTCTTCAAACACGACCATCAATTTGCTATACATCAAATCCGCTGGGTTACAAGCCTTCAAAGAACAAGGCTTAAGATTTGGAAAATTTTAAGAGCATACCTTCCATATTTGATCCAAATCGACATCTTCGGAAGGTGCATAACATGTTTGAACCATAAATTTGTGCCGAGTACAATCAGCATTTTGATCCAACGGTTGGAGCATTACAGTAACGAATTTGATATCTTTTGGTGGAACAACACCTTAAGATGAGTTTATATAAGTAACTAGAAAACGAGTAATACCTGAGTTAGGTCGTACGCAGTATTGCTTGGGAGCAGTGGTTTTTACTTTGAAACATATAGGTCTGTCAGATGGGTTACGGAGAGTAATAGTTGCATTTACAACATCGGTGAAAGGGCCTGAAGATAAAAACTGTCAAATCGATAGAAGCAAGAAAAGTACCTTTGAAAATTAGTTCACGAGCGGGGTCAATACTTAAAACCTGGCTCACTTTGGTTTCAGCCATCCTAAAAACAGTGTCTGATTAAAAAAAAAATTAAGATCATATGGAGGACAGTGTTGGAAGATTGGAACCTATATCGTGACTATGCAAATAATTGTGGAGAAATTACATTAACAACATTTGAAATTCATGAGCAACAACTAGATATGAAAGAATTCGAAACTCCTAGAACGGTGCGTGAACGGAATAAACATTTTTTTTTCGGAATTTATCGACAGTTCTAGAAAAAGGACAATACATTGCTCATCACGATTTTCGAACCATTTCCGAATATATTTAAGCTTATATTCAAAGTTTCTCAGTTACATTAAGTGCTTTTAAATGCTTTACACACAAGTTAAAATTCAAAAACATTCTATCCAACATTTTACTAAAATAAATTGACATTACTTGCTATATAATAACAGAACAAATTTTCGAAAACCAGACGCCCAGAGTTGCCGCACTGCTAGCTTGGCGCGGCGAAAGGGACGCAGCAAAGTCTGTCTGTTCGTCTGACTCTCGCGATTACTCTGCAACCAGCGTCAGATACTCAGTCTTTTTCGTTTTACGCAGGTGAATTTGAATTGTGGGCGGAGCTAGTCATTCCTTTGGCATTAGTTCTAGGAAAGGTATAAAACAAGTGAATATCATTACCGCATTCGGCTAAGCATGGTTTGAACTTTATTTTGTCTTGTTCATATTTAATGAGACGCGTAACTGTGTTCAGAATTCAAACGTAATGTTCGATGCCCATGTGTGTTCTTCGTACTTTGCTTTCAGTCATCAAAACTTACCAGAATGATTTAGAATGGAGAAAAATGAAAAGGATAATAATGTGTCCGATGAAGAAGAAGAATTTGTTGAAGATGAAGCGGAGAGGTTGAAAAAGAGATGTGAGATCCCTCCATACCAACCCCTTGACCGTAGCGACGGTACTTATAGTTATGATTATTATATTTTATGCCTATCATGCAGACGAGATTGTGACATTGCAAGACATTATAGATTCTGAAGAAGAGTTGAATGAGAGAGCTAAGCTCTTGTTTGGCGGCTCAGATATAAAAGTGTGCACATATCCTGAGGTTGGGAGTAGTGTTAGTTATCAGATTAATCTTCCATCTTAGGGATATAAACCTAGGCAAGCAGTATTCACTTGTCTCACATGCGCTCCACCTCCTAAAAGTGCGGCCGTGTGTTTCGGGTGTAGTTTAAATTGCCATGAGGGGCACCTTCTTATAGAACTCTACACTAAGAGAAATATTAGATGTGATTGCGGCAATTCTATTTTTGATCAGAAGTGTTTATTGTACGAGGTGAATAGGGAATAGATTTTCCCTCTTTATGAGAGGTGTTTTAGGAGAAAGATCCAATCAACGAGCAAAATAAATACAATCACAACTATAAGGGAGTGTTCTGTACATGCTTGAGACCATATCCAGACCTGGATTGTAATGATGAGATGTATCAATGCGTTATATGTGAAGATTGGTTCCATTTTTCGGTACAATTAATAGGCACGGGACTGAGAGAATCTTGATCCATTTCAGCACTTGAAAATACGCGACACTCCTAGCAACACTTCTGACATTGTAATTCGGTTTCGCGTTAGTAGTTCTAAACATTCGTTTTGTTTAGTGTTGCTTTAACTGTGCCGAAAAACATCCATTCCTTCAGTTGTATTGGAAGGCAACCGCAAAAGTTTGCTTGAAGGGGATTACTAGTAAGCGTTGTGGAAAAACCTTAGTCTTCGATAGTGAATGGAGAAAGTTCATTTGTAGGTGCTCTCATTGTGAAGTAAGTTCGCGACGAGTTTCTTTTTATGAATATATTCTTAGGATATGCTGTCTAAGAGCAACCTGAGTTTTCTGTTAGTATTGGAAGATACGATTGCTAACTATGAGGAAACCTCCCTGGAAATGACGAGAGATGAGAATGATACAGTTGACGATGGAGATACACTAGTAAAGGAGTTGGTCAAAACCACTGGGAGAGAAGGAACCGTTACTTTACTCAAAGGTAGTTTTCGCAGTTTAATTATTCATTTCTTTTATCTTTCAAGGCTTTAACGATTTAAAAACGAATCTCGGAGAATTCTTCAGTGGTATCGCCGCTACTGGAGACGTTATCACGAAAGAGCATGTTGCTTCATTCTTCGAGAATATGAAGAGGCCAAGACTCGACAACGAAGGCGGAAGCAAGTAAAGAACAAAAGTCTCATTGCGGTGGGATGGGCAATACTCTTCTTGCCTTATTCTTAAAGACCCATATCCGTTATGTTTACGGTTTTAATTTACCTGTCCGTCTTCAACTTTCTTGCGATCTCCTTTAATAGGACAGCTCTGATTTCTTTCTAACTTCTTTTTCGATCCTCCTTTGCCAGTTGTAGTATGTCGATCTCTAGCACTTTTAGTTCTAGTGAGATTAGTGCGTGCATCGCTCTGGCTAAACCCTATGAATAACTTATAAAGTAAAACTTTAAAAAAATCTCAAAATACCGGCTCTCATACGATCTATCATGAAGGAGACTAAAACATTAGCAGCTCTCAAACTTTCTCTATGCTTCTTCCAGCCGTCGTATTCTCTGATAGTTTCAGTTATTGACTCTCCGAAATAATCCCAATGGTCGATCTTCAAGTAATGAAGAACGTGCTGTTTTCAATGTTTTAAGAACTAACTTTCAAACCCATTCTTTTGTATTTATGGTGATCTCTGCCGATTTTCATACATATTTCTGATATCTGAGAAGGACTATCCATATTTGAAATTACTAAAATTCCTCTTTGATTTAACTGGTTATATGATTTACCTGTATGAAGTAATTGAACTATATCTTCACGATGTTTGTTTGTATCATGATGGCTATTGCTTTCAGAAATTAAAGCTGATGTTTGAAAAACTGCCTTCAGGTTTTCATCCTTATTAAGGAACCTACGCATAATAGTTGCTCCACAACTGCTCTCACCTCCTTTGCTCATGTGACGCCAGGAGCACTTGAGAGTTTGTTTCTAAAACAATGTTGTATTATGAGAATAGTTTTAGTTTTACCTGATACTTGTTGAGAATCTGATCCTCGGTGTTGAGGTCATTGTCAGCTTCAGTCGTAGATTGCTGGGCTCCCATATCTTGAATGTCTTGCCTTCTGACACGATTTCGAGATCCTCCACCTTAATTGCGTCACTTCAAACACCAATTTTGGCTTTTAGTACTGAATAAATATTTGTGTAAAATCGATATGTTTTATGAGAATGAGAGGTTTTCTAAGCCATCACTTACCTATAATATATGCAATGATGAATAATATGTTATTTTCGGAGAAGATGATGAAGCTCATAAAGTATCTTTGAAATGAGTTATGCTAGTTTCTAGCTTTTCATGAAGAGTATGCTCTTTTGATCGAGCCAAAACTAATGAAATGTGTTGATCGTCATTTTCATAGCTCAGCAGCTTATGCTAATTTTTCAGCTGATTTTCGTTTCTCTTTATTTGTGGTTGATGTGTGAGGAAAGAGATGAAGAGTTGGTTGAGGAGGATGAATCCGAGGCTGAATACGATGTTGATAAAGGGCGACTGGCAAAGTATTCATTACTTTCGTGATTGAGCTTTTACATACGTACTTTCAGAATATTCTTCATATCTTTTCTACTAAGGGTTCTGGTTTTCATGTTTTCACGAGATTGGCTAGCTTCAAGACCCGAGCTAGTCAGTCCATTGACTAATTATCGTCGGGTTCTTGATGGAGTTGCACTTAAAGCTGATTTTGGAACAGCTTATGACGGAGATCTTGTTTTAGTGGTTTGTTTCAGTTTCTCTGAAACTCAGCAATGATTATCTTCAGCAACCGATGTTGTTGTCATTTTTCTCACCGTTCAGCTACGTTTCAAAAATCTCGTTGTTTCTCCTGTTCTGCTTTTTCGATTTCCTAGCTGCATTTTTCCTTCTCTGCTCAGTGTTCCATTTGAACATTGACAAGAACGTCGGGTTCACTATTTATAAATGGTATCGACAGAGTTTCGAGACATTGAATAATTGGTTTCAGTTATTTATTCAATCCTTTCACAATCACTTCTTGTGCAATCTTCAGCGTTTCATCGTTTTACAATATGGTTACTTCCCTTTTCATATATTGTTTCGTTTCCGGTAAGTTCTTAAACTTCTTCTCCGCAAACGCTTCACTATGTTGTTTCAGGAGCGTACCTTTCAACTATTGTCTGCTTAGCGTTCATATCAAGCTTGTGCTTCCATCCTATCGCTCTATTAGGCTCAGTTATTCTGCGTTTCCCATCTTCCCGAGCCTTCTCCACTTTGGTAGTCTTATCGGCTAGCATTACTATTTTTGTTTTACTCAACTTCATGTTCAACGGATTGAATTGGAATTTCGTGAAATCCACCTATGGGTCTCTGTGAGTTTATTCCGCCTAATAATACCATATGTCTTTAATTAAGGTTACAAATGGACGATCTGAATCCGAATAGTGGTGTCTTCTGGTATCTTTTCATACAGGTTTTCCCTCAATTCCGTCAGTTCTACCTGGCTGTTTGTCAATGCAGTCTCATATTCTATATAATTCCTCTGACTTTTGCTCTGAGGTTGGTGAATGTTTTTGTTTCCCAAATAAAACCCTCATGCTTAAGGAAAGACCCTCATCTTCATGTGATCATATCGTTGTTACTAATAACAATATTCTCTCCTTACCCAACGCTCAACTCAGGCTCTGTTTACTTGGCACTGTTGCCTTCACTGGAAAAATACTGGAAACGTGAGCTGAATTATTTTATATAAATGCATATTACTTAAGAGCCTGTACGATTTGTTCTACTTCTTGGTGGTATTATGGTAACCTGCGCAGTGCTCATGCCGGTCATGTGGCACATGTGGATAGTCGTAGGGTCGGGAAATGCGAATTTCTACTTCGCAGTCACGCTTCTCTACAATTTTGCTCAGGTTCCCGGCAAACAATTTCAGCAACTCAAACTTTTTACAGATTTATTTGATGTTGGACTTGCTTTTCGCTTATTATCGATCTGATCTTCAAGCTGTTTGTGAAGATCACTTGAATTTGAAGACAACACTAACATTCCGGTCGCAATTAACAAAATATGAGAACTAATTTATTTATTGTAAAGTTGATTTCTTGACCAAAGTTTTTGTTACAATAGGCTTTGGACGGTTCTTGAAAGTTATTCGTCGTCTTATAATAGCTTTAACTAATAAAGAATTCTTCCCTTCTTCTTTTGTAGTTACCAGAAAAGGTTTCTCCAGCTTTGTTATCTGTAGTACATATTAGAAGTTTCTTTTCTCACTACTTACTTTTCCATCGATTAGATGATGGCCGATTAGTAAAAGTGCTTCGGAGTCATCTTTCCTGAATGCTAGATTGCCTATAAAACTTCGGTTGGATAGTATAACAAAGTTCAACGAAACCCATCATTTCGTCACGGAATGTGGAACCTCCATTATCAACTGTTCCTTGCATTTCAATCAAAACATATTCATCCAATCCATTCCTTAGAAGTAAAGTTCATCATTTAAAGTTCGTGCAAAACTTACTCGTCTTTAATTAGAAAAACCTGCATCTCTAATTGGTCCCCCTTGCTCTCGGCCTGAGTTATCTATTTTAACTTCGCGCCATAATCTAGCGTAGACGTACTATTGCGTACATTTCTCAGTTTCCTTATTTTTTCAAGAAGCTCAAGGGTTTTTATGTTTTGTTACACTCTATCATATATTTTCAGATTTTTTCGAACACTGGCTAACTTAGTCAAGAAAGGAGTCCTAGGCCTTGTGGCTCTCGAATTTGCCGCCGCTGGCTCAGCTTATCTTGGTTTCTGCCATATAAGACGCAGTGAACCGACTCGAGAATATCTCTATCGTTCCTGGCCCAAGTTATCCGACGCTTATTATTGGGCTGAGGACTCCATTTCGTTTGGACAATTGACTGTAAGTTGAACGAAATATCGTCTAACAATTATATTTAAGCTCATGGTTCAGGGCTCCAGATTACGATTGAGTGACCAAAGAAGGTGGGCTCAACTTGACGCGGAGGAAGTTTCCATTGAATCAGACTGAAGTAATGGTTACCAAATCTCAAATACAGCAGGCCATATTAGGCACGAGTCTTTTAACTGCAATGTTGTCTGCTCTTTTCTACCAGAAATGGCAAGAGTCTCGACCAGTTCCGGATATTCCTATACAATCTTGGAATAAATATGTAACCATTCAAAAAGAGGCTGGAAGAGATATATAATAGGTTCAATAAAGATGTCTACTCTATGAATTTCTTTTAAACTATGGTTCCCAGCATCCATTTACTTTTTCTTATTAATTTTTTCAATAAATTGTGTCTCATTTAAGTTTATATGTCCCAAACTGGACCGTTTCAACGTGTTAACACGGTTTCAGCACCTTTAAAAGGCTCTTTTCCTTTAGATCATGAAGGAACCTGCAAACTAGAAATGCTTAAGTTTCAAAGCGCAAGCGTATATCAGTTAACTATGCATTTTAAGATACATGTGTTGCTTACATGAGAACGATCAGAAGAATAGTGAATGTAGAGGGTTAGCGAAAGCTTATTTTCAATGTCGTATGGATAATAACTTGATGGATCAAGAGGATTTCGACAAGTTAGGATATAAAAATGATAAAACGGTAGTTCGTTGAAAAATATGACATGATTTATTAGATTTCACAAGTAGAGTTATACGTTATAGTGTTTCTAGTTCTCAGTTCTATCTCTTTGATACGCTCTCAGTTTCCACTTTTCTTCTCTTCGCTGATGTCCATGTTAAATCATATATTTATAAATATGTTCGAAATAATCCACAAAGAACAACTGTATTGTTTGTTATTACAGATCACCGAAGGTTTTCGAGTTTTCATTGCATTAAACCGGCAAGGTTTTCTTATGCATATTTTACTGCCAACATTGTGAATTAGTAAGTTCAACATGGGGCTAGGGATACTAATTCTTGAATACAACAGGACCGAACACCATGCAAGCTAATCGTATCACAAATCTTCATACTCTTTTCGTTTGTGAGAGTCATTTTTAACACCCGATGACACACCGAAAAGAGAGATATAGTGAGATTCATGATATCTATAGATATTTCTCTTCAATGAAATGGCGGGATGCCACCTACCTTACAAACTTGATTTCTGTAGTCACACGCGATAGGTTCTTTCAACAATCTTCGTGAGCTTTTTGTTACTATTTTTTCAATTCAGATTCAACGTTGGGAGTTTCTGTGTACTACTGAGGGTTCAATTTTAAAAATCATAAGGAAGTATATAATCTTCTTTGGAAGATGACTGTTTTGATTGTCAGCGTCCGAACAACCATTAGACCAAACCAAGAGGTTATTTATTTTTGCAGAAGATTAGAAAATAAAAAAGATTTACAATCACTTCTGTTTCGTCAAGTTAGAAGAAGGATTACGGTGGAGTCGTTTAATCGCAGTACGTGGACATTAATGCAGGAAGGTCCCACAATGATGAAAAAAAGTTTTTCAGGTTAGAGTCCTATTGATCAGCCTTCACGTTGGTTTCATAACCGTTCTTGAGAGAATTTATAGTAGTGAGGCATACTGTTCCTCCAACTTCTCTGTTGTTCGTACGCAAGTAAAATATCATTTGATTCCTAATATATGTTACCAGATGCATGACACCCATGTGTTGGAGAAGAGGTGTTGGGCTCAGAGTGAATTGAATGTATTATGGTTAGTGGTAGATACTTGAAGGTTGAGGTAAACATTTATTTCGAGAGGCTCTATGAAACAGAGCAAAACATGTAATTCATATTTCATCGATATCAATCGAATAGTCAGCCCCAGTTTCAATTCGTCAGGAGAATGTTTAAGGTTTGCGGACAATCCTGCAGTTCAGATGATAACTTTCCAATCTGGAAGAAAGTTGAGTCGTGTAGACACATCGAGGAAGACGAGTGAAGAGAGTTATGAAGATACACATCGGTTATGATTTCATTTTGGTTTCAGATGATTGTTGTGGACGCATCGAGCCTCGGGAAGTGGAAGACTTGACAAGGACTTGGAATTCAATCGTATGTCTAAATCTATAAGATCTATCCTTACATAATCCTTCCTTAAGTTTCTCAAAGAGTATTCACTGATTCCTTGTCCTGAACCTACCCAACCAAGTGGAAGAGTAGCAGGTGAGAGCTAAGAGGTTAAGCAAATGTTAATTGTGTCCTTCTAGATTACAGGCAGGAGAGTAATCTGCTACTGTGTGATGGAGGATAACAGCAACGACGATGGAGGACAAGGATACCCCTTTCCCATCCCTCCCAGTGCTACCGATGCCTGAGGGCCCCAGACTTAACGACCGTGCCGTCCGTTTCGAC